TGAGCTAAAGGGCCTTGTGTGGAGTCCAAATCTCCCAGGAGTTTAGTTGGTCCTGTTGAATCCTCCGGGGCTCTGTCTAACAAGCTCACTCTTTTCCACAGCAGCTTTTCTCCTGGACATGGGAAACTGGGGTGCTGTTTCTCTCCACCTGTGTCCCCCGTGTCCCCTCTCATTGGGCGGGAGCTTGCTGTTTTCGCCCACCTTGCTCACCCGTCCTCCCTCTGTATTACCAGTGCTCCGGGCCTGGTCCGGAGGGATCAAGCTTCCCCTCTTCAATTCTTCCTCTCTGCTACAAGATGAATTTTCCCCCGAACATCCAAAGTATCCATCTCCCCCTTGCAGGTGCCTTGGAGCTTATGGGATAGCCCTCACTCTTTAACCTGGCATTTAAGTTCTTCTTTCCTCAGTCTCCAATTACCTAAAACCCTTAAGTAAAAGCAAACCGGTGAACAGAGTATTATCAAAACATTCCATTCGCACTCCTGCCTCTGGGCCCCGGTCCTTGCCTCCTCTTTCCTTCTTCAATCGCGTCTCCTTTGGGGCAGTTTCCCTGGCTCTGAAACGATCCTCCTTCTGCCCCACAGAGCCCCCCCACCCCGCCCTCACACAGCGCTTCCATGTGCTGGCTGACTTTTGAATGAGTCCAGGTGTAGGTCCTCTGAGAGCTCTCCCACTCCTCCTACCCTGCCTGGGTCTGCACTCACAACCTGAGGTTTGGGGGGTGATGTGAGAAACTCAACCCCCAGGCCCCCCAAGTCTCTTCCCCATTTCCTTCAATAGTTCCCCTAAGGGCATACTTCGGGCCTATTTTTTCCACAGCCTCTTAACTTACAGTACTCACCGCGGGGGTGCGAGCACCGTGAGGGCCCGTGAAACCACAGTTCCCCGAGCACAAAGGGGAAAGAGACAAACACAAAAAGACAAAGAAGAGAGAGAAAGAAAGAGAGAGGGAGAGAGAGGGAGAGAGAGGGAGAGAGAGAGAGAGAGAGGGAGAGAATTTATGTGACAACCCAGCCATCAACAGGTTCTCCAGCTGCCAACGTACTTTATCGGTGCTTGAGTTCCGCGTCTTAGGCTTCTTGAGAACGGTCTTCTGGGATGTACAGGAGCACAGGCACCCCTTCTTTGGCCATTCATAAAAAGAATAGTTGTACACCTGTATGTCCCCACATGCGCTTTCTAGAGCATGTTTCATAATTTGGGTTTGTTGCATGATTCCACAGTAAGAATTTGAGTTTTTTAATTAGTGCATGTTAGTGATATAGAACGAGGTCTATTTTGAGAAATTGGTATCTGCACGCGACTTGTCATTTTCAATCCAATCCCTTGCCCAAAATTTGAGTTATTTTTTTGAGTTCTCCTGACAGTTGTGATACAACTTCTATGTTTTCCAATTTCACCTTTTTTCTAGTGTTTCATGTTTCAGTTTGTTCTTTAACCTTTCTGCACACACAGGGTGAATGTTTTGGATGCAGAGCTCGCAGTGAGTAGCTTAAGGAGTCAGCAGAGAGTAATAGCTGAGAGCACAGATTCTGAGCGCCTCGGGCTCTGCTGCGCACCTGCTGTGTGAACTTCCGTAACTTATTTCATCTTCAACTTCAGTTATCCTCAGCTGCAGAAAGCACAGGACCCATTGCACGCGTTACAGGGATTACATGGGGGACTGTCTCTGTGAGAGCACATCACACTCTCTCTCTCTCTCTCTCTCACACACACACACACACACACACACACACAGACGCTGGCCGCTGTTGTTAGCAATTCTCCAGGTCAGGTGTTTTGCGCCCGCACTCCGGGTTATGAAATGTCCACAGTAGACCTTTGATAATGAAGACAGTGATGTTCAAACTGTTAAAGCAAGGCACAGAGCCTCATGACTCCAAATCAGTGCTAGAATCAGACAGCTCTAGTTACTAGAACACCGGTGTTTCCAGGATAGTCAGGCCTGAGCATTTTCTTCTTACCCATTGTAGCTATTAGGGAAATCCTACTTGATTGTGTAATTTCTAAGAGGAGGAAGACACTTGAGGGCTGTGGTAATAAAAGTGAAATGGTTATTAACTTTTAGGGGCTTGGGAGCCTTTTACTCATCCTCCTTCCCTCTATAAAAAGATCAACAGTCAAACAAAGCACTGATTCCCTCAAATGAGGCACTCACTCCCTCACTCTACAAGAAAGGTTAGGGAGAAGCTGAGCTAGAGAACATGCTTGACCAGGAGGCCCAAGTAAGGCCTCTTTCTCCCTGTGAGTTAACACCTCTCAAATGCACAGAAGGGAAAATAACCAAGACTCTTTCTCCTGGGCCTCAGGAGTCCACTCCACCACATACTCCAAACCCAAGGTTGGGACATGAGAAAGGGACTTGCGGTCCCTAGAGGCCCAGGTTCATAGGGGAGGAGTCTCCCACATTGACCCTGTGAAGCAGATGGCACTCCAAATGTGCAGGGGAAGAAACAGGCACGGCTGAAGCAAATTGGCCAAGATCACCCCCTATGGGAGCAGAGCTGGGACCTGAGCTCCGGCAGGCTGTTCCTGACACACTGACTCTTCTGAAGGTCCCCACTGTGTGCCAGCAGCCTGCTCATAGGGAAGTGAGCAGGGACGTCCCAAGAAGTGAGACATAGGGAATGTCTGTCAGAGGTAATCACTTGCATATTTTTCTTGCAAGCGCGCACGCGTGTGTGTGTGTGTGTCCTTGTAATCAAACACAACTAAAAGGTGGAAGGGGGAAACTTGTGCGCAGGTTTGTAACCCGAGAACAGCCTTTGACCATCAAAGAGAACTAGGCACCCAGCTACGATGTCCTCCTGAGAACTGACAGGTGTCAGCTCCTGCGAAAGGAACATCCCTGCACAGCTATGTTCTGACCTCACCCTTCCCCCGTGGGCTCCACATCCAAAGGCCCCTGATCCGTAAGGCTGGTCAGGGACCTACAGTGTGGCCTGCGGAGGAATGACAGGCAGGGACCAATCGCATTCTCTGCCTCTGGGATCCTCTTGGCAACAGAGGCAGCGGAGCTGTGAGCAGTGGGGGTTGAAACTGAGAGAATCTGGAGGTGGTGAAGGCTGGGAGTGTCTGGGCAGGAAAAACGACACTGCAGCACGCCGAGATGGAGGAGAACATGAGAGTGAGGCGAGGATAAGCAGGCGGGAGGTGAAGTACACACAGGAGGGCCGAGCCAAGGCAAAGGGGAAGCATTACAGCTGCACCTGTGGCACCTAAGAATCATCTGCGGAGCGGATGACAAATAGCGGGGCCTGTGCTCGTACCCTGAGATTCTATTTAATTGGTGCGGAGTGCGAACCAGGAATTAGTAGGATGGAAATCTCAGATGAGCAGGGCACGGTGGTGCATGTTTGTAATCTCAGCATTTGGGAGCCTGAGGCAGGAGGGCTGCCATGAATTTGAGGCCAGCCTGCCCTGGCCACATAGTGAGTTCAAGGCTGGCCTGGACTCCCCAGCAAGGCCCTGTCTCAAAAAAAAAAAAAAATCTCCTCAGATAAATCTAATCTAAGGGAAAGCCAGGGAGCAGGGACGAGAGAAGTCTTCGGAGAAGTCTTCAGCCTCCTGCTGCTGAGCTGCACGGCTCTGTGGGAGGCCTCAGGGTTCAGGTTCTCCTGGGTTCACTGGCAGATACTTTTGAATATTTTATCACCTGCAACTCTTGTCTTATTCTTTACTACAAAATCTTGATTTTCTACAGGTATTGGGGCAGCACTATAAGTCAAGAAAGATGTGCCCACTGTCAGAGGATCCAGCCTAATTGGTCCACACATGATCATCAGATCCTTCTTTTCCCATCCTAACAAATGGTGTGATACCGTTCTGACCAGTGATGTGGGGTAGTGGGATGCTTCTGGGAAGATCTTATCCTTACAAGAGAGATAGAGTATTCAAAAAACGCTTATCCCTCCCAGAATTTGGAAGTTATGCTGGCTAATACAATGGTATGATGCCTGGAGCTTCAGGAGCCATCTCTGACTCTGAGGCGGCAACTAAGAGATCTGCACAGAGGCCGGCCAGAGTTCTGGTGTGATTACTGCTGGATCAACTCATCCAGGACCCACCCACTCTTACCTTTTTTATTACTTACTAGCAGCCAGGTGCTGTCCTAAGCACTTTTCATGTATCAATTAGTGGAACCCTTAACAGCCTGGACGTGTACCAACCCTGCCTGTGAGAATGTGGAAAGCCTTCTCCCTGCACCAGCACCCCAACTCCACAGCCTGGGATGGGGCTCCGTGTCCTGCAAGAACCCCTTCCTATTCGCTCTGCATTACTCTGCAGTCGGAGTGTGTCTTGTGAGGCGAAGGGCATACCACGTACTGTGAACATCTGAAACAGTCAAAAGGCAGCAAGAGGCCTCTGGGGTGGAGGACACGGTGCCCGCAGACCGCAGCCCCATGGCGCGTGCGCCTCTCACCAGATCCAGGGTCCACACCGTGCTGTGTGCAGAGCGCGTTCTCGTCACCCCATAAAGCTCGCTGTCTCCCCACGCCACCTTTCCTTTCACCCCCACGCATGTTGCTCCTCCTGCTCCCTTATATCCCCCGCCCCTTCTCTTCAGCCGCCTGCAACGGGACACGAGCAGAGAAGCAGAGCGCCTGTGCCCCTCAAACCCAGCTCTGGGGTCGTGGCAGATTTTCAAATCCGGATGTTGAGGCAGTGGAGAGTTCTTTAATATTAGCAAGTGCTCTAAACAGCCTGGGTGATCCTCCCAAACGGGTTTTCTCCTCCTGCTGTCCTCTTCCTCTCCGCCTAAGCAGTCCCCTGAGAAGGAGCCTTGCGGCTGCCGTGGCTCCACCCGTGACCGTGGTCAGGACCTGCAGCAAGCGGGGGCGCCCACCCTCCCCGCAGACCGCAGCCCCATGGCGCGTGCGCCTCTCACCACGGTGCAGAGACCGCACCGTTTCCCATCTTCACAGCTCTCCCGCACGAGCTCTGAGCTGCGCGCACCGCCGCAGCCCCTTGACTCGGGCCCAAAGAACACCACAGGAGCAAACAGTGGGTACGGACTTTATTTTCCGCCCATCGAAGTGAGCACACACAGAGGGTGGGCAGAGGAGATGGTAATTCCAGTTACCTGCCTTGGGTCATAGACACAGATCAGAAAGGGGTCTTACTCCTACCACAAAATTGCTACGGGATTATCACAACGAAACATTTGTTCCCAGTTCTATTTACACCATGGAGCATGGAGAGGGATACAGTTCTTACACTAAAAATATATACTTTGGAATCTCTAAAACAAAAATATCTCTATCTCTACATGAGACCTACTATAAAGAAGAACATAGAAAAGAAGGGAAACATACCAGCACCTCAAGTTGTCCCCTTCCGTGGGAAGGTTATTCTGCTCTCCACCTGACACCGTTAGCCTGGAAGGGCGGCCATTTCTAACCAACCAGACAGACAGACACAGAGAAACAAGAGGGAGGCTTATCGTCCCAGAGGAGTGAATACGGGAAGGAGCGGGGGATTTGGCTTCTTTTACAAAAGGAGTAATTGCACATTCAGTTTGCTGCTTCTGTGTCCAGCGTTATTGCACATGTAAACAACCTGCACGGCGAAGTCCTCGGAGAACCTGCTAAGAGAAGCCCGGCTCATTTCCGGTGGGCTCAGAGAAGTGCTGAGTGGTTCTCCCCGTCTCTCAGGAAATACTAACGCTGTCAGCTAGAAGAGAAAGTTCTCTATTCTCCAGTGCTGAGAGTGGGCTAGATTTAAGAAAAATGTTAGTCCTTTTCTCTTCAGAAGGATCAGAAACCACTGCATTCCCTTTGAGCACAGAATCTCCTCAAAGGATCATGACTACGATGAATCACTCTGCTTCCTGAGTCCTCCTCCCGAAAAGGTTCACGGAACACTCTTTTTCTCTTCTCGCACTTCAAGCAGTGATATAGTTACTTCGCACTTCTTTTGGTTATGAAAATTACCTTCTTTCTGATAAAAGAGTCAACTATCCATTCTCTAGAATTAATGTTAAGAGACTGGTACAACAGAAGCATAAAGAATAGGCTTAGTAGAAAAATTCCTTACGCTCGTTCACGGACAGTCTTGTGTTTACACTGAAATGCAGAGGAACCTAAGGAAAATAACCATAAAATCCCCTTTCCGAGAAGCTCCAAGGCCAACTCAAAGATCTCACCACCCCGACTGGTGGTGGTTTCAGGACCTCCAATCCAGAACTTCTTCCGTCTGAGGAGAATGTGAGACTGAAGACCAGGCCGACAGGAGGAAAGGGACTTGAGAAGCTGAGACAGTAAATGGGCGGGACCTGATGGTGCTGCTTGGCCAGCCAGGGCCTGCTGAAGGGATTTCTACCTCAGGGGAGCCCCACCAGTTACCACCAAAAGAAAAGCAGCCTGAGAACATCCACGTAGGGCTCCCGGATATCCTGCTAACATGTAGCTTAGAAACCTGAGAAGTGTGAGAAAAATGCAGTGACAAATGAGCAAAGGCGACTGTGTAAAAGTCCTCTCGACAAAAGAACTTCAGAGACACTGGTGAAGTGGCAGAGAGAACGTCCTGGATAGTGCTCTGGGCCACGGGACCAAACCTGTTCCTATGCTTCAGACAAACCTGGGCGCAGAGCATTGAAGTCAACTGAGTAGATGCAGTGAGGTTTACTGACTTGGCCACTAAGAGGGAGTCTGGAGGGTTGAGTGAGTAGAAAATAAAGAAGAGTCAGAAATTTTCATTTTTGGATGAGCACAAACTACAGATTCCCCAGACCACAGACCTTTTAAAGGTCACAGTTATCATAGCTTGAGCTCTCAACCAAGCCTGAGCCTTAGAATACACCAAATTTGTATCTAACATTTATGACTAACTTAAAAGACAGTTACACCACAGCCAAAAAGGAAGAATGGCTTTTTACCTGTATTCTGGAAAAACATGGTTCACTTTCCTTCTATCCCAAAGGCAAGTTTCTATGAATAAAGGAGTGGGCATAGGGAATGTGTGCGGTAAGAAAAGATTTCTCGACAGTCCTTCAGAAGTTGGAAACCTGTGGCTGCAGGCTGAACATACCTGGCTTGCCTGGGTCAGTGAACAGAAATGGTTTTGGCTGCATATAAAATGTACAGTTAATGTATATATGTAACACAACTTCCTTTACTTAATCTTTAGAATGCTAACATAGGCACGTCTAAGGGGTGGGCTGCAGGTCAGGCATGCCTGCAAGTCCAGACCAGCCCTCCTGCGGGGGTAATGACCAGAAGGCAATCTGCCCTCTTAGCAACTACAATTCTTTTTCCTTAGAACCAAGATTCACATACCACCCTTTTCTTAGAGCCCTGGCCTCTCTCCCTCCTTACACTGATACCCCCAGTCTGTCAGGGCACTGACCTGGCCACACTCAAACCGTTGCTGATAGTTCTGTCATTGTGAAAGAGGGGACCACTTCTTTGGCCCAAGCAAATATGGACATGAAAATCACTAGTAACCGCTAGCCTTGCTTTCTACTCTTAAGTCAGTTTATGCTTCATGTTGAACTTAAATACCATTTTTCACAGATTAATCTGCCTATGTTTGTTCTCAAACTATTTATCAGAGACATCTGAGATGAAAACGCCCTGGACGAGAGAATGACCACATTTTTGGATGCTCCTGCAGCTTCATGCACAAAAGCGTAACAGTATCAAGGAGTACTCATGTCTACACTCTTACTGGCTGATGCACACGCGCACAGGCACTGCGCTGCTTCCCTGTCTCCCAGTTGCTAATGCCCAGCTGACTCTGCTTCATGTTCATCAGCCACAGATCTAAGCGAGGAGGCAGCCAGACTGGAGCTGAGTGTTTGGCAGGAACTGGGAAAGAGGAAAGAGTAAGAGTAGAGACGGTTTCTATCATTAGATGCAGCAAAAATGGGGCTGGGATGTACTTGAGAAAAACATAACAGCCTATTAGTACAGCCTTCCAAAATGGCTCACATTCCTACGATGCAGTGACTGGGGAGAGTCTGCTAGGGAAAGACTCGGAAGGGCATGCGGTCCATAACTGGACTACACAAAGCTAACGAAGGCTGCTTCCCTGGCCTCCAGCAGCTTAGCAGATACAAGGTGGCACAAGCCATCAGTGCATCGGGAGAGCCATTTTTCTGAGGGATTCTGTCACTGGTTTTGTTGCACACTGGGCTCTTCTCTGTTCCATCCTTTCCAGGTGAGGTGAGGGAAACAGGTGAAGTCGTCACCAACTTCCTCACACAGAAGGTGGAAGGAAAATATGGTGGTGGTGGGGGGGAATGGAACAAGAACGGGGGCCTATTTTTAGGGAAAAAAATGATGAAAAAGAAGCAAGTTCAAGGAAGTAGCCAGGGATGGAAAAGAAAAGTCAGTAAGAAAGCTTTTCCCACTGACAGGCTGCCTTTTACTTTTTCCACACTAAGTAGGTAAGGGGTATAATTACAGATTTGCTGTAATGCGATAAAATGTGAAGCTTTGGCTCACGAAGATTTGAATGCCCATATATTTCAAAGAAACATTCCTGATCCTGTCTGTACCATATGAAGGGAAGCCAAGGGTGTCCCTCAACAGCCTTATGACTAGAAATCAGACTAGGCAAACCAGGAACAATACCCACAATTCAGAGTGACACTCTTTAATATTTGAAAGCAGTGTGACATTCAGCCGTCAGACACCGGTACAATGATACACGCTGCTTGTTTGCAGTCCACACCCATCCTGAGGGATAGGTGTCTGTCCAGTACCAGTTGTTAAATATTTTCAAAATCATCTCTGCATTGAAAGAACTGTGTCCCTAAAAGTCAGCGAAATGTAGGGGAAACTCAGGTTCTTACAACATCAGTCAAAAGTCTTTAGAATAAGACTAGACTACATTAATATATTTTAAGAGTTTAAGGAATGAAAACTCAATATAATGATGTTGTCAACTCTTCATCTATGAACACAGAGCACAGCAGGGATTTTCCCACTGTACAAAGATTTTCCAGGATGAAGAACTATACGATTAAATTCCCTGGGTGTCAATGGGCTGGCTAGTCACATTCTGTGCACAAAGGCAGGGAAGGTCTACACATACGCACCACAGCCCACACCCTTGACATTCATTACAACAGAGAAGAAGAAACCATAAATGCAGTTTAAAATACTGAAATTAACTTCACCACTTACAGTTCATTTCTCAGGGTGGCTCTTTACAGCTGAGAACCAGAACTGTTGTCAACCAAAAGAAATCCATGATGAAGAAATCACATGGCTGAAGGTGGTTTGGTCCACTGAGCTGATGATGGCTCACTACTAAGGCAGCTAAGGAGACAGTACGTAAGCACTTGGATCTCTCCAGGATGGAATTAGAATATTTCCTCAAAAGACAGCAGCAGGACATCAAACATTCCCATGAAACGGCCAATAAAAACATCACATCCCTCTTTCTATTCACAAACAACTGCTATCGAATCTTTTCTAGGTATCTAGAAACTACACACTAAGACAAACCTTCAGGCTATGAAGTCCTTCCTGGTATCTAAACGAATTCCTTCTGTAGCAAGTGATGCTCATTCCCTTACTCTGTCCTCAATAAAAACCAAGGGAAGCTGCTTGTCCTCAGCGGTCATTACTAATTCCCCTCCCCGCAAGCCTTTTCCTAAATAAGCCGAACAACTCCAGTGTCCTCCTTGACCCCTGGGTCTTCCAAGGGTCTCACTGAGTGCTGCAGACTGCTGCTAGGGAGTGACAGAGACACTCCGGGTCAGAGGCCTGTCCTGGCTGTGGCGGTGGGCACCGCCAAGGCCCACATGGCTCGCCTCCTGACAGCAGAGCCCCCGACGGCCCCGGGGTCTGACTCCAAACAGGATGTGCAGTGGAGCTGAGACCCAGGGCCACCTAGGAGCTGGAAGATACCAATAAGACTGGGAACCTTCCCTTTTCTTTCTGCTCTCCTGCTACTCTCCCACCCACCCCTTAGGAAGAGGGACCGCACTGAGGGAATCCTCAATGGCAGAATGGATCCATGTGGCTCAGCAGGCCAGTAGAGTTTCAGAGAAAATGTCTGAAAAATGGGAAGCTGGGTCTTTAATGGTGGCAGTTCTGAAGAGAAAGGAAGAAGAGAAGGACCAGCAGGAAGTGGTCTTCTGCTTCCACGCTTGCAGCTGGTGCCTGGCTGCCGGTGTGAGGATGGCAGGGTGCCCTCTGCTGCGCACCAGGAATGACTGGGCTTCGGCAAGGCTTGAGATGACCAGAGATGGGGCCAGAGTTGGTCTTGGTTCTTCTCCGAGAGACTCACCATTTTCTCTGTAATCAGAACTCCCCTGAGCACCTCATGGCCCAAATCTTCCATCGGAGCAAAGACTCTTAGTTGAAGAGACTGAATAAAAGTGTTACAATGAGACAAAAAGGGAACACATGATTCATTCCTGCTTTTAACACAATACTTTGAAGATGTCACCACAATGTGGATCTGGCTGTATTTTAAGTTCATTTACAAGTAGACTAGTTCTCAACTAAAAATAACTGCGGTATACAGTTCGACAGCTGCCTGGATTTTCCTCTGAAGGAATAAGATTCTATATTTCACTCACATTCAGCACAGATTTATTTTAACCCATTCAATGAAGAAATAACCATTTGCACCCACTGGTGGCTGTGACTTTTCAAATCACTTCAATTTCTCCTCACAGCAACCTCGTAATTATCCCCATTTTACTGGTGGGTAAATAGAAACAGTGGTATGCCACCTTCTACATGGAATTAAGAGCAGAAACAGATTTCCTGATTTTCTAGCTTAAAAATTTAAAAAAAAATTTTGTTAAACTACAAAAGTCTTTAATAAGGCCTCAGTTTTGCCTTCAGTTTTCTGACTACTTAACCTGTACTTGACTAAATTCAAGTAATTTGAACACATAGCTTACCTCACTGCTGGCAAAAATATCTAAAGCCTTTCCATTTTCTTCATTAACCTGGTCAAAACTGATCTAAATTACTAGCAAATTATATAATATATATATACATATGTACCTATGTATATATACACACACATATATAATTTAGTTTATAAAATAAGATATTTATAATTTAGTATTTCAAAATCTTGGCAGTAATTCTCATTATGAAAACACAAATTTCTTTTTCATTAAAAAAATTTTTTTTAGCCAGGTGTGGTGGTGCACACCTGTAATCCCAGCACTCAAGAGGCTGAGGTAGGAGGATTGTTGCAAGTTCAAGATCAGCCTGGGCTACAAAGTGAGCTCAAAGACCAGCTTGAATTGCATAGTGAAACTCTGTCAAAACAAATTTTTTTTTGGTAGTACTAGGAACTGAACCTAGGGGGCCTTCACACTGAGCTATATCCCCAGCCCTTTTCTTTTCTTTTTATTTTTTTATTTTGAGAAAAATTCTTGCCAAGTCACTCAGTCGCCCAGGCTGGGCTTGAATGTGTAAGCCTCCTGCTCAGCCTCCCAGAGTGCTGGGATTACAAATGTACACCACCATGCCCAGCTAATAATTCTCAGTATGGAATAACTTAAATAGGTTAAAGTCAGTATCAATACTGTTTGTTTGCACTGATAGTAATAATAGATACTTTTAGCAACTTTCCAGTTTGTGTGCTTTCAGTAAGCAGAAATGCCCTTTAGATTTCAAAATAAGAAGTAATAAAGAGGATTAAGGGAAATAAAAGGATAAAGTGAACTTACATTCCAAAATAATTCTATCCTGACTTTGGACCTACGTAAATGGGCAGCTCAAAATGGCCTGTCTCTTTAAATATTTAGAAACCATTTTTACTTTTTTCTCCTTAGGCTTACAGCTATTCTCATGGGGGACAGCAGCAGTTTTAGAAATGCTGTTCACTAGAAAAATTCAACCTAACAGCTAAAACACATTTTACCTTCAACATTATTGTCATTTTCAAAAGTCAGAAATAAAAACCAGAAGTTGCAGTTCCCTTTACCTTTTTTCCTTCGTATTTCCAGAATTCATACTGAGAGCTTTCCAGACCGTGGTTTTAGGCATTTCATCAGATATATTAATCTCAGAGGGGTCACATCTGAAATCAATGCTTGGACAGTGAATGTCAGACGTAGAAGCGAAACACGTATCTCAGTCTGTAATGGCCCCCTCCCCATCAGAAGGGAAAAGACTGCGCCTGGGGGAGCCCAGCTAACAGCTCTCAGGAGCTCGAGGAATCAGATGGAGTCTGGTTCCTGGAGCCACTGAGGCTAGCTTAGAAAGGGGCGCAACAGCTGTCCCAGGCGGTGGCTGCTCCTCCAAGAGTTCACTGGGGATGATGATGACATCACGAGGCCAACAGGACAGCATCAGGAGCTGCCACTTAGAGTGCCCACTGTGCCAGGCACGCCTCATTCACTTTCCATTTACACAGCCAAACTGTTTTCATTTGCAGTTTACAGAGGACTTTTACACTATATTTTCTTAACAACTATCACAGCAATAGCGGTTAATAGCATCCTCATTCTGAAGGTGGGGAAACCAAGATTCACAGGGCTATGTGTCTGTCTAGGATCAAACAACAATAAGTGGAGAATCAAGACCTTAAATCTGGCCTTGGTCCCCTAGAGCCCCAGAGAACTCTGAATTCTTTCAGAGGGCAGAGGGGCTCCTTCTACAATACCAAGAAAGGAGACAACATCCCGCTGAAGAAGCAACATTGCTCCTCCTGTGCCACCAGAGACTTCAAAGCCTATGGCTCCCTCCATAATGACTTATAGAAATGTTTTTAGAGACCAAAGAAAAGACTTCCCTAATCTACCCCATATGAACCAGCCCACTGGGCAGCTGGGTCCTAGGATCTGGACGATCTAGGTCCTCTACTTTCTTCCTGCTCTGCTCCTCTCTGGACCTCTGGCTCCTTCAGGCAATGTGTTCCTCTTCCAAAATGGAAGCAAAATGCCAGGAGGGAAACCACACATGGGCCAGGTTAGTTTCCTGTGGCGATCAATAGGTTTGGTAAAGAGAGCAAAGGGGCTGACTGACTGGCAGAAGTAATGCATTCTTGCAATCCCAGTTCAGTTCCTCCTTGGCTCTCTGAATTACAGATGTCACGAGCCAGGTTGGAACGGACTTTGTCCATCTCTAAAGGCAGGCCCAAGAGTAGGCATCTCAGGTCCATAAGGCTGAAAGCTCTTTGGACATAAAGACCATGTCCTATTTATCTTTTTGAAAGGGGTGAAAAAAAAGGCAAAAGGAATACACAGACCTGAGTTTGAATCTTAATTTTTATACTTAGCATTGTAGCCAGGGACAAATTACTTAAACCCCTGGAAGCCTCAGTTTCCTCACTTGTGGTGGATAAGGAGACTGATCTCAGAAAACGCTTGTAAAGACTGACGGTGAGCACGTGAGCAAAGCTCTCTGCACAGCCCCGCACTCAGGAAGACACTCAGCATACTGGCTGCCCTTTCTTCTCCTGTGACCCTTTCACCTGGCAGAGTGCAAGGCACAGAGCAGGCCTTCAGTCCACAAGGAAACAGAAAGGGTAGAACAAGAAGGCCAAATACCAGCAGCTGGAGTTTTGGCAATACCCACAACCACAAGACCAGAACATTTAGAGAACGCCCCAAAAGTAAACTCCTTGCTGTTTTGGGAGATTTACCTGAAACTGTTGTTTTTTCCAGGACTACTTAATAACTTTCTGCTTTCTAGGGGGAACTTGTCTCCCCCTATTTCTAACATTTTCTCCACCTCCTGGAACAAAAGAAGACATTATTTTATCTTGGACCAAACAAGATCATGAGTCTTCACCAGCCCACTCTTCTATCACAATTTCTACCTAATTTTCTCATATTTACCATAAGAATATAATTAGATTCTTTCATAGGTTTAACTCATCACAAAAAGACAGACATATGTCTGCACACATAGAATAGTATTGAAAAAAATTAAAAAGAATCTGAATCTGAGTAAGCCTCTAGATCCAGTGACCAGTTTACTGGAAATACCAGAAACAGAACATGTTAGATGACACCAAGGAAGATACTTTGAAAGATCCACATAGTGGGAACCATATAGGTAAAAAATCTAGTTTCTTCCTTCTGCAAAAAGAAAAAAAAAACAGAAAGGGAACCCCTAAAGAAATTTTAGCAATACATCAACCAATTACAAATGTGGACCTGCTTTAGATACCAATTAAAATAAGTTGTTAAAAACAATAATAAGGGAATTGGGGAAATGTGAACGCTGACTTTTTTCTCCTTTTGTATATGTTTATAATGTTCCATAACAAAGTATTTTCTTGCAAATAATACCACTAATTTAAAGGAAATAATTGCAGCAAAAAAGTACAAAAGTGTTTAAAGTACTATAATAATAAAATGTAAAAGAACTAAACATTTTGCTAAGGGAAGAATACTTAAGTTACTACTATAAGAGTACAGAATATTGTATGTTCATTAAAACAATAAATGTATTATGTAAAAACACAGAAACATGAAAGTCTTATGAAATTAAGTTGAAGGGGAAATCAGAATATCTGTATATCTATATCTATACAGATATTTACAGATATAGGTATATATAAAATATATAATTATGGCTCTTGCATGAAAACTGTGCTGAAGATTTGAAGAGAGCATAAATGAACATAAATGGTGGATGGTGAGGCAGTGAAATTTTGGGGTCAAATCTCTACCTTTACTTCATTTAGCCTTTAAAATAACATGTTTATTTTAGAAATTTTGGAAAATAAAGGAGTACAATGTTTACCACCTTGAACTTAGCATCCCAAAAGATCTCTTGATTTTCCTACCAAATCTGCTATTTCTTGGTCTTCCTCATCTTAACAAAAATCATATAGAGTTGTCCTTGATTCTTCTCTTTCACCTAGGCCCACCAGTCACTAGCACAACCTACGGGCTCCATCTTCATAGCAGGCCCCAAATTCAGCCACTTCCACTACCTCTACCTTATCCCAAGTCACCACCATTTCCTTCCCAGACTGGCACCACAGTCCCTTTCCTAGTCTCCAGGCTGTCACTCTCCCTTCCAGCCTCACTGGCCTTCTTGGTGTCCTTGAAGCACATCAAACCCATTCATACTTCAAGACTTTTGCACTTCCTATTCCCTTCACCTAGAAGGCTCCTTACAGACATGCTCATGAAGGGCCTCTCACTCTATTCAGCGCTCTGCTCAGACACCTCTCCAGAGGAATCATCTGTAATCACCCGAAACAGAGTAACTCCCTCACCTTTACATTCTTCTTAAACTATACCATTACCTACAAGGTTGCATATATGTGTGAAATTATGTATAATTATACAGATATAATTATATATCCACATAAAAATATAACACTATAGTAATAAAACAAGTGGTGTCTCCATGAGAATGTAAGCTCCAAGAGGCCAGAGACTCTCTGTCTTGTATACCACTGGGTTTAGAAGTGAGAACAGAGTAAGCATTCAGCAGATATTTGAGGAAAGAAAGGAAATAAACTGATTTTAAAAAATTTATACTCATCACCCAAAGATACACACAGAACCACAATAAACATTTGGCCTATTTTTTTCTGATCTTTTTCTAATTTTTGTGTGTACTATTTTAAGTAAAATAGATTCTTACTACGTTTCATTCTGTATTCTAACACATAAAATGTCATAAATATGTCCACCTATCATTAAGTGTTCTTTAAAACTAGATTTTAAACTGTTGCCCAATATTCAATTGTCAGACATTTACTCTAATTTTTCTTCTTTGCAGTTGTTTTATATAAACACAACTAAAATCTTTTGTCTACATTTCTTACATATCTTTAGAATAAATTTAAAAATTAGAGTTGCAGGGTCTCACTATGTTGCTCAGGTCGGTTTTAATAAGCTCGGCTCAAAGTTCCTCCCGCTTCTGTTTCCTGAGCACTGTGAGTACAGGTGCATGCCATGTACTTGGCTTGGGTACATACATTTTTAAGAGTCTACTCTAAACTGCCTGCTAAAGAGTGAAAACTGGGGGCTGGGGATTTAGCTCAGTGGCACAGCGCCTGCCTGGCAAGTGTGAGATTGTGAGTTTGATTCCTGGTACTGGAAAAAAACAAAACAAAACAAACAAACAAACAAAAAAATAAAGAGTGAAAATTTACCCAATTTATACTATCACTTTTAGTGTATAAGAATTTCAATTACAGTGTTAGCAGCACTAGTTCTTTTTCTTCCTAAAAATCTTGCTAATTTGATATGTGAAAAATGTGTTCTCTTTATTTAAATTTCCATTTCTTTGTTGGTTAAATGAGCTTTTTGTCATAAAGTATTTGACCATGTGTATTTCTTCTTTTGTAAATTATCTCTGTCCCTTGCTCATTTTTATTCCATTATTCTTATGAATTTGAAATAACTATTTGAATAGTAAGGATATTAGCACATCTCAAATGTCATTTTAAAATTTTCAGATACCTTAAAGTTTCATATTTTATGTAGCAAATTCTCTCAATATTCCCCTTACAGCTTTCTTTCTGGCTAGGGATATACTTCAGTGGTAGAGTGCTTACCTAGCCTGCTGGAAGCTCTGGGTTCAACCCCTGGCTCAGAAGTTTTCTTCCATTGCTTTTGTATACGAAATTACTAAAACTTACTTAATAATACAAGCTTTTAAAAATTCAAGATATTAGAAAAATGTATTTTAAAGGAGACTATCTGGGCATTCATTACGTTTGGAAATACTTCCCAGCACATTCATTTCTTGGTCCATGCTATGGTTTGTGCCTGGATGTCTCCCCAAAGCCTCCTGTAGTCATGGGGCAGGCTTTTAGAGTTTACGACTGAACCATGATCCAATGCTGGGATTATGGGTGTGAGTGCTACATTCGCCCTGTGGTGGATACATTGCATATGTAAGAGAGAGAAAGAGGCTGCTTGCTGGCATTCCTCCCTTTTGCGTTGTTGCTTTTGCTGTGTTCTGCCGCCACCAACTGTAGCCCTCTGCCATGTGCCACTTTGCCTTGGAACCAGCCAAGTACGGACGAACTGAAACTTCCACAAACTCTAAGCTAAATAAACCTTCCCTCCCTTAATTCTGGGCATCAGATATTTTGTCTCAGCAATGAGAGAAAAGTAACCAAGACAGTCCAGTATTTTCATTTTGCTATACATCCTTCCCTTGCACACAAAGGCCATTTATTGAGGGTCCCCTTTGTAGATGACAGTGTGCCAAGTGCTGAAGGAAATGAAGGACTGAAAGTCCTACCCAAGTTATATTTGCACGGCGCCAAACAGCAATGACTATGGCTAAGTATAAAACACAGAAAATAATGGGGTTTATACACTTGTCAAATGAGATGTTTTGGGCTAACTTGAGCTATTGGCTCTGATGAGAACAGATTCCATGTTCACATTGTAGGTGTGAGCCTGGTAAGTAGACACTAGAAAACGAAAGGGAAAACTATGATTAACAAATCCAAAAATGAAGGGCGGACAGAAGCAAGAACTCTCAATCTGTTAAGTGTGGCACTGCATGCCTGTAATCCCAGCACTTGGGAGGTTGAGGAAGGAGATTCACCATGAGTTCAAGGCCAGTCTGGAATACATAGTGAGACCCTATTTCAAAATTTAAAAAAAATCATTAAAGAACCTCAATCCATTCTCAGAACACTTTGGGATAATCTTCCCAGCTCCTAAATAAAATACTTGGGATTGTAGACATGCTGACTTTTCATGTGGCGCTTCCTATGTTCTGTAATTTGAGGCCCCGAAGTATAGTTACTACAAGGACTCTGACCTCTTCCTCCTTGGCCTTCTTTTTGGCATCATCCAACTTCTTCTTTTTGCTTTCAGGCATGAGATCATCTAACCAGCTCAGCTCTCGCTTAGAGAAACAGAGGTCCATGAGTTTCCTGACAAAGACCAAGGCCAAAACCTAAACGAAAAATGAAAGGAAGAAAGTGAGTTACAGGAACTAATTTCCTTCCTGGCATTAAAAGCCAAGTCTTATTTTCAGAGATGACTAGGATTTTTCCAGCAACATCAATTCATAATAGTCATAACAGTTGCCATTTATTAAGCACCCTCTTTGTGCTAGGTACTAAGGTGTTTTACACAGTGTATGTTTTATACCATAACAACTCTACAAACTGGAGAGCAACTAATTTAACTCCCTCATTGAGAAGAGAAGCCACTCATCTGTAGATAGCTCAGCAGCTGCCTTCCCTGGCTGGGATCAGCAGGAAGGGACACGGAGTGGAGAGCCTCTGCAGGAGTGCGGCCACAGTGGCCAGCCTCGCCCAGCCGGAGCGTGCCTCACGGTGGGGTGACAGAACCTGGGAGGACTCTTTCCCTCTGGCCCTTTGCCTGTGCACCCCCCAAATCCTTGTTTTATGCCTGCCTTGTGAACCTGTAGTGGATTTGTGTCTGCTTTCTGGCCTACCCCGACACTCATCTGATAGGGCAGGAAACTGAGGCCCAGAGAGAGGAATGCTATGGCTAAGACCTCGTGGCAACTTTCCCAGTAGAGGCAGGTCCAGGGTATCTCAACCTCTTTTCTTCCCATGAGGGCCTCTTACAATCTCTTTATTTTTATAGATACACACCTGTAGTATATAATGATTACGTTCACTGTGGGCAGTTGGTGCATGTATGTAACACATCTTAATTCTTTTCACTTCTCTTCCTCCCCTTCTTCCCCCTCCCTCCATCTTTTGGTCCCCTTCCCACTTGAGAAAGGTCTATCTCTCTGCTGTCTACTGTCTATCTTTTATTTTGCTCTTTAATTTATCTATATTTTGGGTTTCTCATATAAGAGAAACCATGTGATAGTTAAGCTACGTGATTTATTTTACTTAACATATGGTCTCAAGGTACATCCATTTTCCTATAAAATGACTTGAATTTATCTTTCTTTATGGCAGTAGTACTGTAGGCAAAGAGAGCCAGAACCATCTAGAACAACCTGCCCGGTAGATTAGTGTTCATCAGCTACATCTGCTGGCTGGACAAGGAACGAGGCAAATTGGGCTGATCAAATGTAACCATATTTCTCTCCAATTTTAATGACTATTTTCAAATTAACGCAAGCTTGATGGGATCCCTTCCCAGGAACTTACTGTGTCCTTAACTATACATGTAATCCCTGAATATAACACATATGTGCAGAGTCTGACAAAATGGAGACGCCTATCTAATTCTCTAGGGAATCAGAGAAAAAAAATCTAAAACAAAATCACCATATGATCCAGCAATTCCATTCCTAGCTATATTCCCCAGAGAACTGATAGCAGGGACACACAGGAACACACGTGTGTGCACTCGTGGTCACAACAGCATTCTTCACAATAGGCAGAGGGTGGAGGCCATCCACGTACCCATCAACAGATAATGGAAAAACACAGTGGTCTGTACATACAATGGAATATTATTTGACCTTAGAAAGCACCAGGATTTCAGGCGTGGTGGCGCACACCTGTAATCCCAGCACTTGGGAGACTAAGGCAGGAGGACCACTGCAAGCTCAAGGCCAGCGTAAGCTACATGGTGAGTTCAAGGACAGCCTGAACCGCATAGTGAGATCTTGTCTCCAAAAAACGCACAAGGATAATCCTACAACAAAGATAAATCTTGAAGATACTATGCTAAGTGAAATAAACCACCTACAAAGGACAAAAATTGTACAGTTCCATTTACATATATGTCTAATAAAATACAGTAAAATAAAATAGAGACAGAAGGTGGAACAGTGGCTTCCCAGGGATTGGCAAGGGGAGGAGAGTAGGAAGTTACAGTTTTAGTGTGTGCAGAGTTTCAGCTTTTCAGGACAGAAACTGTTCTGGAAGGGGTGGTGGTAACGGAACCACAGCATGAACACACTTAGTGCCCCTGAACTGTGCACTGAACACACGCCAGTGTTCTTCACTGTTGTGTAAGGGATTTGTTACAATGGGAAACTTTATGTTACGTGCGTTCCACCATAATAACAAACACCAATAATAATTTACATTTTTGAAAACCCTCACCATCATCGGGAAAACAATGGCAGCTGGAGAGGCCTTGATGACCCAGAGCAGGACGAGGCAGGTGAGCTGGATGAGGGTGAAGAGGTGCACTTTGCGCAGAGGCACGTGCCGCAGGTAAATAAAGTCCGGCTGGTGCTTGGCGGGCATCCCAAAGAGCTTCAGCCGGTCGAAGAACTGAAAGGAAGGCGTCAGCATTATTTTCAGGAGGCCTCTCCGAGTCAGAATCTCTCTGAGATCTCTTGCTGAAAGTAGTTAACACTATTTCCCCCGGACAGAAATGGGAGCTGAGTCTCAGAACATAAATATCAGTCAAGAGCTGACACTGTCTTTTCTAACTCTGGTTCAGACTTCTTTCTCCTATCCCACACTGTGGCTCCTGAGAGAACTCCTTCTCAAGCAAAGTGGCAAATAAAATAAGTCAATTGCCAGGGGCACAAGTGCCTGCCTGGCAAGTACAAGGTCCTCAGTTCAATTCCTGGTACCCTCCCCCCCAAAAAAGTAAGTAAATCAATTGCATCTTCTGCTTACTATCAAATCCAAAGTTTTAAATTGTTCTTTTTGGAACTATTTATTGATTATTTTTAGTGAAAAATATAGAATATAAAAGCTATGCTCATCCTTATATTATAAAAAAGAAAACAGAGACCTGGAAATTAAGTACAATAACCTGTCCAGTGTCGCAACAGACCATAGTATATAAGAATGACCCCTGGGCATTCCACACAAACAGGAATCAGTCACCAACAAAAGAAGTGTTTATTACATCGTCTAAGCTTCCCAAATTATTGAAGACCATTCTTGATTCTCTCTGTGGGAAGGGCTATGAGGAATGAATTCACCGACAGGAAGAGGCAGAATGTAACAGGAAACGACACCTGCTTGCCTGTGACAACTCCCATTCCTCCAGTTCTTTTCAGCAAAGCACCTTAAAGTTGAACTCCCTTCTCTCATACATTAGCCTGGTTCTCATACGTTAGCGTCCCATGTATGGAAGACAGTCTGGTTCTTTTTTTTGTTTTTGAGACAAGGTCTCACTATCTAGCCCAGGCTGGCCTCAAACTCACAACAATCTTCCTGCCTCAGCCTCTCAAGTGCTGAGATACAGTTGTGCACCACCACACCTGGCAAGACAGTTTGATTCTTGACCAAGATTTCGGACCCAGGTTTGCCAGCACTTGGCAAAGAACCTAGTGCCTCATATATGCCAAATAATTTTGGAATAAGCAGTGAATGACAAGAACAATGACATCAAGCAGGTCACTCTGGAAGTCTCTGTACTCTCAGGCCAGTGTTCCTGAGAGTTCCATTATCAACAGATAATGGAAAAACACAGTGGTCTGTACATACAATGGAATATTATTTGACCTTAGAAAGCACCAGGATAACTGTAGTTTGCCCTATATCCAAAGAAATTTCTAAAATAGCCCAGCCAAACAAGACTAGGAAATAAGTTCTCAAGAACTGGCTGTGCTTTTCTTAGAGAGCTATCCCTCCCTGGTCAGGGCAGGTGAGCTTACAATGAGAAGACACCACCCAAGCTCAACTGCACAATACCTGGATTCCCTGTAGGGAAGAAACTCCCATGTAGAGGAAAACTCCATAGAGGACTGGCATCGGGATAAACTGCAGACAAAGGGCAGACAGTCCAGACATTACATTTGGTATCATGGCATGTTAAACATTATATGAACTTTTAAATCTCTGAGAATGAGCTAAATCACAAAAATTTCTTAATCGCTCCATTAGTTTCTGCTGCTTTTACATAGTAACTTACAAGTAGAAGCTAGCAATGATAAAAATTACTTTGTTCTGAAATGAAATGATTACATGTTAAGTTAAATCACAGGTCTCACATCTCCCCACTGTCTGGCTCTTTCTCCTCCCCGGGGACGGGTAGGCAGACAGACACAACCCAAAAGCCTTGGTAAGTCAGCATCCTTCTAGACACCTTCTAACCAACCAATCTGTCCTTCTTGAAACACTTGCCTCACTTGGCCTGCCACCGTACCTTCCCAGTTCCCTCCAAACTCTCCGGCAGCTCTTTCTTTCTTTTTTTTTTTTTGTACTGGGAATCGAACTCAGGACCTTGTACTTGCCAGGCAGGCGCTTATGCCACTGAGCTATATCCCCAGCCCCTCTGGCAGCTTTTTTTTTTTTTTTCTTTTTTCTTTTTTCTGGTACTGGGAATCAAACTCACGACTTCACGCTTGCCAGGCAGGCGCTGTGCCGCTGAGCTAAATCCCCAGCCCCCCTCTGGCAGCTCTTTCTGAGGCTCTATTGCTGTCTCTTCCTCAACCCAACTTCTAAAGCCTGCTCTTCTCTCTTCTTTTTTTCCTCTCTCTCTCTCTCTTCGTGGTTTGTTTATTTATTTATTTAGAGACAGGGTCTTGCTACATAATTCAGTTCAACCAGTAAGACTAGGCCTTGAACAGTGACTATGTATCTCATGCTGGCCTTGAACTCACAGTGATCTTCCTGCCTCAGCCTCCCAAGTGCTGGGATTATAGCCATGTGCCACCATGCCCAGCCCCTCTTCTCTTTTGAATCTACCCTTCTCCCAAGTGAGCTCATCTACCCTCTCAGCTTTCAATACCACTAGTAATAGTATAATAATAGTAATAATACTACTACTTATATTATTAATCCAGAACCATGCTCTAGTCTCTCCACGCAGCTAATTCCAGACTCTCACTCAAATCCTAACCATCACCCTATTTGCCACAAAATCAAAATGTCATCTATGCCATTTTAAGAAATGCTATTAATCTTCACCAGATGGCCGAGTCAGAAATGTAACAGGCATCTTTGGTTTTTTCCTTACCCCATTCCACATCCACTTCAGCTGGCCAGACCTTTAGATCTGCCTCTAAGGTGTACAGAGGCCCAGCCTTTTCATCTGCCAAGCCAGCATCACTGCTCACCTGCAGCTGCCTCCCTCGTCTTGCTTCTGTTCTCCTCCCATACACGTGTTCTCTAGACAGCTGCCGGAGTGAGTTTTTACAAATACCGTACTACCGAATCGTGTCCCCTTCCTGTTAAAGCCCCAAAGGCCCTTGCTGGCCTGGCCCTGCCTCCTCTTCAGGCTCCTCTCACTGACTTCCGCCTTACTCAGCACCCTTGAGCCTCACGGCCCTGATCTCTTCTAGAACACGTGTCACTCTTTCCTACTTCAGGGCCACACGTGGCCGCTTTTCTCCGCTTCCTTCGTGCCATCTTCTACCGCCCACGATTCGCTGGCTCCACCTTATCTTAAATACGGTCTTCTCTGAGCCTAACTGAATAGCACCCCTTCATTCTCTACAGCTGCAAAGAACGACGTATATCTCCTTTTCATCACTTACTACATTCTGTAATTATCATGTTTGTTTTCTTAACTAATTTTCTTATCTGTCTTACCCCCCTAGAATACGCTTTTCCAGGACTGGGATTTGTCTGTGGGTCTATTTGGCGAGCTGCTGCGTCCCAAACACTTAGCAGGATTCCTGGCACCAAGACACTCAATATTTGTCTCCCAAATGAATGAATAATTACCTTTAAGATAGCCGTCATGAAGACTGAGCAGCCCATCAGCACGAAGATCATAAGGCCTGTCACTCTCTGCTCCCGGATGCCCAGGAACTTGGGCTGTTCTCCCGGAGCAGAGCACTCAGATTCTAGCTTGAGACTGTTCACGTGTGTGATGGACAGGACAGTTGCAGCCACAAACCAGGGCAGGCCCATGATGGAGCAGACGCCCAGCATGACGGCCACCATCAGCAGGTCCAGGTGATAGCCACAGCCTTTCTGTGGAGAAGAAGAGCACCCGTCACTATCAGCGGGCTGGCTAGAGCGCTGTATACAACACTGAGCTAAGGGCCCTGGCCCAAAGCAGGTAGAGGTTTATGGGCAAGGAGGAAAGGGCCCGGGTGCCAGAGGAGTCTTGCAACTCCCCTGGTTAGAAAGAAACAGAAAAGAAAAAAGGGAACTCTTAGCCTGTCCTACACGTCAAGACCCATTCTTTATCCAACTGCCCCCAGTTTACGCTGAGTCTCACACATTCAAAGATCCGTTTTCTCTGGAAAAGTAACTAGAGACCAACCCATGTCTTGCTGATTCTAGTAGACACTCATAGGAGTTGGAGATAAATGTTCCTGCATTCCTGCAATGCACCTCAGATCCCTGCCCGATCTGGGTGTTACCCAGTCTAAGTCAGGAAACAGCAGAGAAGGAAGGCGTGAAGCACCTCACTCGTTCATGCACTGGAACTAACTCTAGCACCTAAGAACCCTGCAGTTCAAAGTTCAATCTGGAAAACACCTGTAATTGACACGAAAGGGACAGTACTTGCTCAAGGAGAATGTAGCTGCCCGAGCCCTAACCTGAACCTCAGGAAGACAAGTTATGTAGCTGTGGAATCCAAGCATGTAGCTAGATAAGGGCCGTCAAACACTCTGCCCACCATCTGCCCCTGGAGGCTTAAGAGAAGAGGCCCGGGAGTCCAAGCTTCTTTCCCATCATACCTCCATGTCCACTCTAGTTTTGTTTCCAAACCAATTTCTTGTAATTAGTGGGTGGAGAATGAAGACCCCTTAGGAGCCCCTTCTAAGACTTTTTACCCAGGTTCTGCAGTTCCTGGTGTTCATGGGCTTATCCTAAAGTAAAAATGTGACCGGCTGCCACAGCGTTCTTCTAGGTCCCAACTTCTTGTTACCTTGAGCTTGTGTTCCTTCCTGTTAATGATGACTGCTGTGATCTGCTGGTCCATGAATATCAAGATGGTGCAGAGGAGAGCTGGGATGATCGCAGCTATCACAGTCCACCAGGGGTTGGGGCCAATGGGATTGATAATCCATCCCCGATCATCCCTTGTTGGCTAATGGGAAAAAGAAAGACTCTATTTTTCCATTTTAAGTTAACTATAGTCATTAGGGCAAAACAGATCAACGTGAATCAGAATTATACATTTCTTTTTATCTTCATTCGAATGAGAATCCCTTTTTAAGAAGAAGGAAAACAGACATGAAATACAGCAATCCCTCAGGAAATCTATGACCTTTTTCCAAATCCTCTGTGAAATAGTCAATCCTCAGTTATTAACTTGCTGTGGAATATTTATTAATCCTACACTTCTTCCCCCTTATTCTCCAAATCCCTCTGCACAAAGAAAGCAACTTATCTCAACATTAGTCCAAGTAAATATAATTAACAACCAAATCTGTTCTAAAAATATTAATGGCTTCCAGAGACAAATATAAATAACTTAGAGCAGTGACAATGAGCTTTTTAGAGCTTTTCATGCTGTAGCCCGCTGCGCCACACGCAGCGTAGGTTCAGCACCTCTGACTTAGACTGTCCTCCTACCGCTCCTCTCCAGAGGCCATAGAATGCCTCCACAGCACAGCAAAGGCAAAACAGAGCCAGCTGCACGGATCTCTCGGGCTGGGGTTGGATCACTGCATAGGTCTTCTCCCACCATGGTGCAACAGGATCCAAGGCTTGAGAAGAGCCCAAGATGTCTGCACTTGGACTTTTGGACTGAGGAACCCTCCCAGTGCTTCTATGAAGTAGTTGTTCACAAAGCTTGGGAGAGCTATGACATGCCCACACTTTCCTAGATCCTCAGCCTCTAGCCCCAGGGTACTGTGGGGAAGACAAGGTCGCCATTTTTGGCAAGTGGTGTTAGAGGATAAGAGGCCAGGGAGAGGTGCGGGGCAGAGCAAGAGCCAGGATGCAGTAACTTGGTGATTTCCCGGGTTCATATGCTCAAGTTCGTTTGCTCGCCACTGACCAAGTCAATCGGAGATGCGAGGGGCCCTTTGTCTCAGTCACCATCTCCCAGTATGCATGGCCTACTGCCCAGATCTATTGCAGGGAACAGCATCACAAGCTAGAAAAACATTCCAAGACAGACAGGTAGCCCTCCCTTGAGACCTGGGTAGCCCTGGCAGCCACGCTGAATCTGAAGGAGTGCCAAGTGCAGATGTGGCTTAGGAGGTGCCAGACCAGCTGCCCGTGGCTAGAGCTCACCTTGCGGGTGCAGCAGTTACAGGGTCTACACAGCGTGCAGCCCCCACTGAGCTCACCCACTTATTTCTCCCCTTGAGCCTCCACACCCACCCAGCTCCTGCCCTGCATGAGAGTACCCGGCTTGCAGGCAGTGATACCCTGGGACTGGGGGGAGCCCTGGGGCTGCACCACCGATTGGACCCCACTGGGGCCTCCTGGGATCCCCGCAGTCCTGGATGCCTTCTGGAGACTCTCCGTCTCCACCATACCCTCCACGTTCTAGAAGGGGGGCACCTTTGGGGACCGGGAACCATCAGGCGCAGGACTATGCTGGGTCTGTAGGGGGACCTGTGGCCTAGGGCAGTGGGGCCTCGTGCTGGGTCCTTCTACCTCAGGAATACATCCTCTCCCAGATACTGCTTTAAATGCTCCCAAGTCCTTACTGGGGCCCCACAGGACCATTTTTTTGAGTTTGTAGGATTAGTAATACTCATAGGTGAGGTTTTTCTTTGTGTTTTGAAACACAGCCTTCCTATGTAGCCCAGGCTGGGCTCCAACTTGTGACCTTGCTGCCTTGGCTTCCCTCAATGTTGTGATTACAGGTGTGGGCCACCCTACCTAGCTCCTTTTTTATTTTTTATTTTGATACTGGGTCCTTGGCCAGGCATGGTGGCGCACGCCTGCAATCCCAGCACTTGGGAGGCTGAGGTAGGAGGACAACTGTATGCCTGAGACCAGCCTGGGCTACAAAGTGAGCTCAGGGCCAGCCTGGACTGCATAGCAACCCTGCCTCAAAAAGACAAAGAAAAAAAAAAAAAGATACTGGGCTTGCTAAGCCTGGTAAATTGCCTGGGCTGCTTAAACTTGTGATCCTTCTGCCTCACACCCCAGGGTACAGGGATTACAGCCCTGCACCACCATGATAGGCTCTTTTTCATTTTGAAAGAGGGCCTCACTAAATTGCCCAGGCTGGCCTTGAATTTGGAATCCTCCTGTCCTGCTTCAGTCTCTGGAGTAGCTAGGATGACAGACATGTGCCACCTTGCCCCACTAGTTTTCCTTATTCTTGTCTTCTAGAGTTTATGCTTTTGTTTTTCACCTTGTTTAATAAATCTTTATCACATGGTCAAGGAAGTATTCTGTAACCTTTAGTTTTTGCCTGACATAAGAAAGATGTTATGTAGAATTGATTGCACATGATGTGAGGTAGGGAGTCTGCCCCTCCACAGATTTCCAGTTGAGAATCTCATAATTTACTCCATCATAAATCAAAGGTTCAAGGGCTGGGGATACAGCTCAGTGGCATAAGTGCCTGCCTGGCGAGCGCAAGGTCCTGAGTTCGATTCCCGGTACCAAAAAAAAAAGAAGGAGGCTATAAATCAAAGGTTCATTAAAAAAAAAGGGGCCAGGTATATAAATAGGCCCAGAATTAACCAAAACTCAACAAAAAAGAGCAAAATTTGTTATATCTGAAGTATTTAGTTCTATATTAGTTGTGACTCTCACGTTCAAAGGCTCTCTAATAATACTGGTAAGTCCTAAATTCTGAATATGTTAGATTCTAAAAGTTTACAGAACCTATGTTTCCTTAATAACAATGTTCTAAGTAGCAGATAAGTCCTTGGACAAGCACAAAAACGTATTAAATCCTAATGACGTGATGGCCCCTAGTAACAGCACAGCTAGCCCACCATATTTGTGATTTCTATATCTTTGGATTCATCAGCTTCAGAGTGAATATATTTGAGAAAAAATTGCATCTATACTAAACATGTAGATTTCTTCTTTATCATTATTCCTAAACACTACAGCATAATAAGCACTTATACAGTATTCACATTATATTAGGTGTTATAACAATCTAGAGATGACTTCAAGTATACAGGAGGATGTACACAGGTTATATACCAATGCGAGACCATTTTATTTAATGGACTAGAGTACCCATGTCCCTAAGGGTCCTTGAACCATCTACTGAGATATGAAGGGATGCAGGGGTAACTGTCCCAGCTTTAGGTTGGGTCCTACGAGCTGGCAGCCATGTGACTTACTACGGAAGGGAAAACGGAAAGAAGAAAAGTTCTTCTCTGCCTCCTGAAAAAGCAGTATTTTCTTGGACACCCTCCAATTTCCCTTTCTCATCTCTCTCCTACCTCCCAGAGGCTTTCTTCCCAGATGGCCCAGAAATTCAGTGACTTCTGACTATCTTAAGCCTACCCATTAGGGAACTTTTCCAAGGACTGCTTGATGCTCCTAAGTTACCTGTTTTTATATGAAATCCATTCCTCTTGCAGGGCTGAGCTCAGCTAGGTATTAGAGAGAAAGCTGATTATGCTTATTCACACAAAGATGAAAAGGCCAGATTCTCAGGGGTGTTGTAAGACGGTGTTTGTTAACTCATAAATTCCTAACTGATGGTATTTCAACAAATTTAACAAAATTAAACACTGATATACAATAGGGGGAAAGTTATTTTTAACAGGTGTTTTTCATAGAGAAAGACAGAGGGAAGCCAAGGGCCAACGAGTGGGGCCAAAGGCAGGCAAAGAAACTGCCTCTTTCCCCGCCTGCCCTCTCCTCAGTCCTCTCCCATAACCCTACTCTCTTACTCTTCCGAAGTCACTGAGGGCGCCAGGTCTTCTCTCCCCGCTACCCACTGGTGATCTGTGCATCTGAGCACAGCTTTTCTATCTTTTCTGCCTCCTCAGCACTGCCAAACCGAAACAGATTTGGAGTCCCATGTATTAATTTGTTTTGCACTATGTACATGTGTTTTAAAAGACACTGTAGAGCTGGGGATTTAGCTCAGCGGCACAGCGCCCGCCTGGCAAGCACAAGGTTGTGAGTTCGATTCCCGGTACCAGAAAAAAAAAAAAAAAGACACTGTAAATTACAGATTATACAAGTAACCAACAGAACAGCACTGAAGAGATACCCTGCTTCTCTGGGAGGGGTCCTAGCGGGACTCCAGACAAGGTCCCTCTTAGGTTCATTTCTCTTCTACACAGGAAGACCCTTGAGCGGAGGGTGTGGGGCCTTCGCCTTCCCATCCCTCCTCGTACCCTAAACAGTGCTGCTCAGTGAAGGTGCTGTTAACTAGATTTGTTCCAGGGACCCACATTTCCACAGAATTGCGTATGTATTTATGTCAATAAGCATGTTCCATTATTTTAAATCTTAACTGTAAGTGGTGTTCATGATAATTGGGTTTTTTTCACTCATTAAACAATTTTCCTGTTCCTTTATTTTCCTGTTCCTTGACTTTTCTGATCTGAACTCAGCTAGACCTACAGAGTTGAGTTTTCTGAATAGCAAGGTAGGAGAAACAAGTTTTATATTCAGAGAACTGCAAAACTTATCTAACAACTGGAAAGTAAATGATGTGGAAAGGCCTTTGAAATCAACCTGGGATCAGATTCTACAAAACTCAGGAAGGCACCAAGCATCCTGAGATCCACTTACCTTGAACACACTGGGAACTTGAAGCTTTGGTGATGGGACTCCAATCAAAAAATCAATAATCACCATTGTGAAGATAGTGAGGAAAACTGCAAAGTCACTCACCATGGAGCGCACCTGGCATAAGATTGAAACAGTGTTTTGTTAAGTTAAATATGCTAGAAAACAATTTAATATTGTAAAAGCTTTAAATATTCTGAGGAAAATCCTTTCATTTTATAGTTGAACTAAATACAAGCATATTTAAACAAGAGGATGTATCAGTACACTCAAATTAATGCCCCTAAAGGGGCCAGGATGAGGGAGAATAAACCCTCTAACAAACTCCAGTGTGACCCAACCCAATCTCTGACAAGTTCTATTTGGGGCATTTAGGCCCAGGTTCAGGCTCTAGTTCTAAACACCAGGAAGTAAGATTCTCTTGGATAGTCATGGTCCAAAATGCTAGGCAGGAGCTTCAACAGTAGCATCAACTCCGCTTCCCTGCACACCCAGTTATCCGGGAAAGGATCTAGGCCCTCTCACCACCCCACTGCTCCCACTCAGTGCAGTCACCAGCAGCTCTTGCTGGGGCAACTATAGTGGCCTCCCAATACTTTCTGTCTTTGCCCTCCAGAGGTTTCTTTCAACAGCCACAGGAAGGGTAACTTAAAATATAACCTAGATGATATCACACTTCTACCAAAACCCTCCAATGATTCCTTGTTTCATAGAATTAAAAACCCAAAACGCCCTCTTGGCCTCTGAGGCCCACACAGATGGCATCATCCCCTCTCCATGCATAGCTCCTAATGCTTTTCTGCTGCTCTGCTCATTGCTGCTCCTGAAACGTGAGCCTCATTCTCACTCAGGGTCTTCACACATGCTCATCCCTCTATCTGCAATGCTCTTCCTCTAGGTGACCTCTTGGATAGCTCACTAACCTCCACCAGCTTAACTCATATACTGCCTCTTCTCTGACATCTTCTCTAATGATCCTACTTAAAACTGGCCACTTCCTGCCACCCCAGGGCATCCTGGACTTCTCTCCTGCTTGCTTGCCTTTCCCTCTTTTCTTTCTTTCTTTCTTTCTTTCTTTCTTTCTTTCTTTCTTTCTTTCTTTCTTTCTCTTTTTCTTTCTTTCTCTCTCTCTCTTCTTTCTTTCTACAGCACTTATTTCCATTTTGTTGTGGATTCCCATCCAATTTAAGGCCTTCTCTAAGCAAATATATTATGCTATAGCTTAGTGTAGCTTTAATAAAATAGTTTCTGCTAGGTGTAGTGGCACATGCCTGCAACCCCAACACTCAAGAGAGGCTGAGGCAAGAGGACTGCTGTGAGTTCAAGGCCAGCCTGAGCTACAGTAGTGAGCTCAAGGCCACCCTGGACTGCATAGTGAAACCCTGTCTCAAAAAATGAGTTCAATTCTCTCAAAAAAAAAAAAAAAAAAAAGAGAAAAATAATCACAACATTAAAATGCTTTCTATCAAATGACTGTGCCCACCTTAGCATGAACTTCCAGCACAGACAGAGCAGAAGGTACCCTAGCCATGCATAAGTAACATCAGCAACAGCTTAACAAGACTTCACTTTGCCTTGTCACTGGAGGCATCTAGCACCTTCTCCATGGTTTTGTTAGTTCTTCCCTTGATGTTATATAAACTCTGAAGATTCCCCGCTCCTGAAACCTGTCGTGACCATCCTGGGGCCCAGGACAGGGCTTCTCTGTCCTCCAAACTCCTATGGTGCTGACACACCAGGCTGGCGTCCAGCTACTTACTACTGTTGCATATGGCACCCAGTTGCTTCATGTGGTTCCTTCTCTATTTGATGGCAGATATTGTCTTTTAAACTTCTTTCGCATCTACCATAGCACTTACCTACTCCTGAGTAACAGTACTCCATAGCCATTTGTTAACTATCTCTTCAGACGGTAAACAAAGATTCAGAACTTGGTTAATACGTATGTTTCTTAACTACTACACAGGGTCATGAAGTGTAGGAATGGGTTGGAATGTATGTATCAACTGACCCCCCACCCACTCATATACTTTGTTCTGAAAATGTGCCTGACTGAAAGCTCAAAAAACCGTTCTCTCCTGAGTTGGGCTCCTTTTCAAAGCAAAGGCCCATTTAGCTACTCTACACCCTCCCTCTAATTAAGCCCTGACAAAACTGGCAGAAGCCCTGCCATGGTACAGACGATGCTATGTGGATCAGGGGAAGGTTGTTGGGGCTCCGGTGATGCAAACCAAACTAGGGCATGGTGCCTGCTGTCATCAGTGTGGCCAATGACTTCATAAGCTACAAGAGCTGCCAGCAGCATCCAGCCCTGGGAGGACACCTGAACTTTGGGATCCTCTGAAGTATCCAAGACAATCAACCCAACTTACCATGCTCACAAGCTCGCTCTAGCTGTTGCATGTTTAGTGTCCCAAAATTCTAGAAATGAGACTAATAGTACTCTAGAAATGAAACTTAATAGCTCCTAGAGAACATTATTACCATCTTAAGCTTATGTGATCCTCACTTTTAAGTCAAGAAGATTTTAAGAATACATATATATATGATAGCTAAAATAGTTATACTACTAATTGCTATTAGTTCATTGAAAAGAAAGGTTTATGCCTGTTTGATCAATTTTTCATGTCTGTATCTTGTAGTATGAGCAACTATTTTGAAGATAACAATACACAACGTACTAATAATTGTTACTCTCCTATAATCTTGTTTTGAAATTTTATACCATTGTTTTACAGGTGTTTTTTTCTTTTCTTTAAAATATAAATAAATAAATAGATTTCAAGCATCCCCATCCCACACTGCAGATCTATGAAACAGATGCCAGACACCAGAACAGAGAGTCATGCTGTAGCTGATCAGGACGCGTGGAGCTCTCCACACTGCTCCTCTACCCCACGGTCAGCACACAGGGTGAGCACAGGTTCTCTTACATCACAGTCCTAACACAAAAGCGCCGCAAAGCGCTGCATGAGTGTGCTACTTACTTTGGTTGGGAAATAGCGGCTAGTCTTAAATGTCTTTAAGGTGCTGGAGAGGATGAAGGTAGTGAAGAAGAGAATACAGGACCAGAAGAGGACATCAGGAGTGTAGGGTCCATGATGGCCACAAGCAGATCCTACAAATTCTCCATGCATCTCTTGGCATTTCTGGAAGAACAAACATTCTGCGTGACAAGAGGCGGACACACGGAGAAAAAACAGCTGCTACCCTCTGAGTCCCCCTCTTTGTCGTCCCACAGGCGCTGGGGAACACATGCTGCCAGCAGCATCCATGACCTCCATGCAGCTGGGGGCTCTGACTTTCAAGCAGGTTCTACTCTGGCCCTAACTGAGATGCTTTTCAAGTAGGCTCCCACTAGGACTTACGATACTGGTAAGAATGAAACTAGAACTGCCCTGAGCTTCCCAGACTCTGGAAGGGCCTGGCAATTTCTACTGTTTTTATTACAGAGGACCTCCAAACCTGAACTTTCCTTAAGCCCTACAAAGCCTGGACCTGCTTCCTGCCCGGCAGGTCTCATTCCCACGTACCCTCGGCCCAGGGTCACAGGGCGGTGAGCACGGAGGAGAAGGGAGGGATGGCCTTCTTCTCCCTTCATGTACAAGAAAACTTTTGAAAGGGAAAAATAAAGTCAGTAAGAATAGTGTTTCTGGTTTGTTTGTTTTTTTTTGTTGGTTGGTTTTTGAGACAGGGTCTCAGCCTTATGCAGTAGTCCGGGTTGGCCTTGACCTTGCTATGTAGTCCAGGGCGGTCTTGAACTCATGGTCCTTCTGCCTCAGTCTTCCAAGTACTGGGATTATAGTTTGTGCCACCACACTTGGCTTATTTTCTTTTTTTATGCTATGTTCTTAAATGCCAGAGTTGGCATCTGAGGGCCAGACCTTTTCCAATTCGATGTCCCTCCTCAACCTGGTGGTCACAGTGATAGCGCAACTCCCAAACTTACACTGACAGTGAGGTTGGCCCAGTTCACTTCTGTCGTCACGATGTTGTGGTCCTTCCAGTACTGCAGGGTGTGGTTGTTGGGATTCTCTGGGACCGTACACCTGCAGCTGAGAGAAAAGGAGAAAAGCTTCTTGAGAAGAGCAGCCAGGTATGCAAATAAACGTTTTTAGCTATAACTGGGTTAGAGGCTCTGTCGGCATCTTCATCCTTTCGCTTCTGCATACTTTAGACCCCCGCGATGTGTCCTGTTGGTTGGGGCCCATCCATCGTTTTCAGCTGGCCATTAACTGAAGATGAACTCACATCAACTTTAAGTCTTGCATGATGTGCAGACAACCAAGCCTGGCATATGATGTGCCCAGAATGAGCCCCGGTGGCCTCCCTGCTTGCTTTTCATCTCTTAGGCTCTTGCTATGAAATTCAATCACATGGCAAGGAGGTCCTGACAACTCTGTTCAGTTCTCAACAACTTCCTCCAAGCCTGGACAGTTTACTTTTACACCCCCATCACGCTCTTGTTCTAAACAGTGCAGTCTCCTGGAAGTACAACGCAAACTCTTTCCGATTCTATACTGTCCTTGATAGATCCCACTACTCTGGCCATTTCCCGGCTACTCATGCTAGAGCCAGGCCTCCTCTTTCCTCAGCCTCCTCTTTCATTTAAACCAGATCAGACTACAGACATTCCTCATTTAACAACCAAGTTCCGTTCCTGCGCGAGGTCATTAAATGAACTGGTTGCTAAATGGGGAACCGTATATAGTATGTGTATCACAATATTTAGAACAAAGAAATGATAAAGAAAACTCCAACTTGATGACTTTGCTTTTATTTACATAATTCTTACAGGCACTACTGTAATATATAACAGGACATATATATAACTACAGAACTGTACTATACAGTATAATCAGCAAAATGTATAGTACTACATAAACAAGGTATATTGTACGAAAAAAAGACATTGAGGTGTTATAAATAAGACATACAGAACTATACACACAAAAAAAGACCGATCATAAGTCCAAGCAGCAGGTCCTAAATCCAAACAGCGAGCCTTGACTGTGAGTCTGAAAGAGGAATATCTATACAACTCCCCCACAGTATTGTACAATTACCCCCTGCGGTATGTCTGTACAACTACCCCACAGCCGTCACACTGTCTCCCAATCCCAGCATGCTTCATGCCTGAGCTGGCTCCTGGTATGGTCAACTGACACAGTCATCCCTACCATATTTGTTTCATTTATGAATTTAATAAACATGCTGTCTGTGACAGAATTAAAACTCAAAAAGATTTCAATAGGTCAGAATAATTACAGGAAACAAAAAAATGAAAAGTAATAGAGAAAGTTATAGAATGCTATACCTAAAGAATTTTTAAGTCAACTCCATAGATATACCAATTACTTTAATTTGATGATTATACTCTATATACTTGCATCAAAATGTTCTGTCTCCTATAAATACGTACAATTACTACATGTTAATTAAAAATGAAAATAAACCATCTATAAAAATAATAAATAAATAAACCATCTCAGTCATTTGGCAGGCTGAGGCAGGATGATCACTTGAGCTCTGGAATTTGAGGTCAGTCTGGATAAGACAGTGAGATTCTAACCCAAAAAGCTCTGTGTGTGTGTGTGTGTGTAATAGATGTAAATGTTTTTAAATAGTCAAAATTAAACCAGGTGTGGGGCATGGTGGTACCTGCCTATAGTCCTCGCACTTGGGAGGCTGAGGCACAAGGATCACTGAGTGTTCAAGGCCAGCCTGGGCTACATAGAGAGTTTAAGGCCAATCTGAATTACATAGGAAGAGCCTATCTTAAAAATAAATAGTCAAAAATAAAATTTTAAAAATCAATTTTAAATTTGAAGCAGCCAAGATGTCTTTTAATGGGTAAATAGATAAATTAAGGTACATCTAGGCAAGGGAATATGATTCAATGCTAAAGGCCATGAAAAAACTAGGTGTGGTAGCATATGCATAATCTCAGCACTCTGGAAGCTCAAGCAAGAGTCCTGCAAATTCTAACCCTGTCTGGGCAACTTAGTGACTTAGCAAGACACTGTCTCAAATTAAAAAACTATCTACTTTAAAGAGAAGAGGATGAAAAATGAAAAAAAAAAACAAAAAACAAAAAAACTATCCACTTCACTACCACATCAGAACTGTACAGCCAGAAGGGAGGAAACAGAGTACAGGGCTAGATAATTTGGAGAATATTATTCCAGAGAAGAAATGATACATTGGCCCTTGTTATGGTTGATACATTGTGTCAACTTGAGGAGTCTAGAAGCTTAACTAAGTAACTCAGCACTTCTACATCCTGGGGTGAAAAGGAAACACCCTTCCTGCTCTAGGATGTTGTTTACTGTTTCAGTGTGAGAAGTTTAGAAGGTTAAATGAGTGACTGGGCAGGGGGCCAGGGTCCTTTACTTTGTATTCATCCTGAACCTGTGCAGGAGGAGGGCATGGAGATTATGTGAGTGCTACACGCCCCGTGCGTGGGCATAGCCTGTTTGCAGTAAAAGGGAGGAGAAGAGGCTTGTTGCTCCCCGCTTTGCTGTTGTTGCTGTGCTCTTTCTAGGCCATGAACATTTGCCCTCTGCCATGTGCCACCCTGCCTTGGAGCCAGCCAAGTATAGACTGAAACCTCCACAAACTGTAAGGTAAATAAACGTTTCCTTCCTTAATTTTGGGCGTTGGGTATTTTGTCTCAGCAACAAGAGAAAAGTAACCAAGACAGCCATATTCTCTTAGATGACTGAAAATACTGCCAGATGTTGTGTTTCTTTTCTAGCTAATCCAAACAATGTTGAACACATGAAAAATACCTAGAATCTTTTTCCTTTTTTTTGTGACAGGGTCACGCTAATAGGTAAGATGAATTTGTGATTTTCTTGCTTTGGCCTCCCACAGCACTGCGATTACAGGTGTGCACCACCCCACCTGTCTGAAACAGAATCTTAGGTAAAAATCTAGGGAGGAAGGATGTTTCTAAATCTTTGTGATACAGTGGGAGAGACACCTGATCCGAAGGGAATTATTAATCCATTTTACTTAACAGTTCCTAAGAGTTATCTGTACATCTTCAGAGAAGAAGCCCGCTCTCTCCCCTGGTAACAGGGCCGAGGGGCTCAGTCCTGGTGAAAAGCAGTTCTTCTCAGTAACACAGTCAGATCCCCGCTGCTGCAGCTGGGTTTTGCCTCAATGCGTAGAAGCACATGAAAGCTCTGGAAAGCGTTTCTCAAGTCTCTGGGTTTCACTCAGTCCAACCTCAGTCATCACTTTGATTGTTCTCCTTTGGCGGCCCTCCAGGCCCCCTCATCCACAGCTCAGCTGTTTCCCAGGAGGCCAAGACTCTTCCCAAGCACTGCCTGGCACACTGCATCAGCCATTAATTTGGGCCCTTTGCCCCATTAAAAACAAGAAGAAAAAGAAAAACATAAGCAGAAAACACACTTACTAATAGAGGCTAAGATGGTCCAGCTGGCTGTGCATGTGGACGGGATAGGTCTCTGCCAGGTGAATCAGCTTTTCTATTGCTTCATAGATGAAAATAATACATATCAGGGAGGCAAATGCTTCTTCAGTGAAGCGGGTAATGTAGCAGACAAGGGAACTGGCGTCAGTTGCCACAAGGACAATACACAGGAAGGCGGTCCACAGTCCAATACAAGCTCGCAGGGAGAGATACGAAAGGGAGTAATCTCTGAAACAAGAACAGAGTTCATCGAAAAGCATGAATAGATGATGCTAAGAGATAGCCAGATCTGCTGGATTCATTTCACGGTTTCCATACCAGCACTGCAATCTGGTTTATCCCTAATTCTGATTGCACTTCATTCCTAAATAATGCCCTAGGACAGTCAGGTTGAAGATTTGCTTCACTGGGAGCCAGGTGTGTGGTGCACACCTGTGATCTCAGCACTCAGGAAGCTGAGGCAGGAGGATAGACGTGAGTTCAAGCTCAGCCTGGGCTACATAGTGAGTTGAAGGCCAATCTGAACTACATAGTAAGACCCTGTCCAAATAAATAAATAAATAAATAAATGTTTTCTTCCCAAGTGCTATTTGCCTTAACAAATACCTAGAAAGTGGAGAAGGAAGGGGTCATCTCATGCACATCTCTGCCATTACTATCCAGTGTAATTAAGAGCCTATCTGAGCAGGAACAAAAAGGGTCTGGCTCTAGTACCATGTGCTCCTTCTTCTAACATAAAATGGGGAAAAAAAAAAAGATTTTATAGGAAAAGTAGGGAAGCTAGGGCATTCCTGAGATGTCATTACCCCTAGCAACCAGAATACTAAGGAGGGACAGTAGGCCAAATTAAAAACTGACTTGAAATGGAAATGGTGAGAGAAAATAGCTACGGAAAATATTTTGAACATCAACTCAAGACTTCAATAATGGCTGAAGGACAATACTCAAACCCTTTAAAAGTGGGAGATCTGGTTTGGCATGGTGGTACATGCATATAACCTCAGCACTAAAAGGCTGAAGCAGGAGGATTGCCACAAATTCGAGGCAAGCCTGGGTATGTTGTGAGTTTAAGGCCAGCCTGAACTACACAGCAAGACCCTGTCTGAGAAAAAGAATAGGAGGGCTGGGCATGTTGGTGCATGCCTACAATCCCAGCACTTGGTAGGCTGAGGCAGGAAGGCTGCTGTGGGTTCGTGGCCAGCCTAGGCTACAAAGTGAGTTCAAGGCCAGCCTGATCTGCATAGTAAAACCTGTCTTAAAAAACAACACCAAAAAGAAAGAAAGAAAAGGAAAAGGAGATCTGCTGTTATATGTATGATGCTACCTGGGGGCAGGCCAGTAGGCCCAGTGATGCTCTTCCCTCAGGTTTTTCACAATCTAGAATACTCACTCTTGCTTGTATACTTGCCTAAGTCCCCGGCATTCAATTCTGGCAGTACAGTAACCACATCCAGTTAGTTTTCAGAAAAACAGATGTCTTACTTGCAAAATTTGAATAAAATCTTCTCAAACACAAGAACTGGCCCAGTGCTTCCCAGGATGGTGAGAGGCTGTCCCGCAAACAAGGAATAGGCGATCCCAGTCATGGAGGCTCCAAACAAGGATTCAATTGCACTCTGAGAAGGAAAAAACCCGAGCAATGTATGACCCAAGTACCAAGTAATGCTGACTTACATACACTCCTGACTTAGCTCTCATGTGTGCCTTGACAGTCATCTGCTTGTGTTTCGTCTTAGCAAGAGTGATGTGTACATATCATCTAATACTCTTGTAAACAGAAACCTCCTTAATCATTCAGGTGCCAAAATCCATTTGCATATGATTTCTCAACTAAACTCTGTTCTTCAGACTCAATTTAGAATTTGAAAATATATAAAAAGCTCAAACTACAAGCTGCCATACAGAGTTATTTTAAATCTTATTTTCAGATTGCATCAATATATTCATATACTTTCCCTTCTTGGGGTAACAAGCAATTTAACTTGGTACCTGGCACTGAAAGTGACATTCAGGAGGGAAAAAGTTCTGTTCTAAAGGGAGAAGTGTGCTGCTCTTTCACAGACAGTCAGAAGACCACGTAAGAATCCAACCTCCAAAGCCGTGGTGTAGGTAACTTTCTGTCAATGGACTTGGCTGCCACTACACAGTTTTAATTCCTTTTTAGGACTATTAAGGGTGGTTAAAAGTTCTTACTATGTGTCCCTCAGTGGCTTCTCCAAGCAGTCCTCCAAAGGTGATGACGGGTGACATGCAGGCACAGTACAGGAACAGGAAAGAGGCCAGACACTGTAAACTGAGTGCATCTCGGTAGTCGCTCCAGTACCAAGGGGCCTTCCGCTTGATGTCCATCAGCAAACCCCCAAAAAGTCTGTGGAAACGCAACAGACAAGCCTCTAATGCAGTCCCTCATCGACAGAAGCACATGACCAGCACACATGGAAAAGCTTTTCAAATGTGCTCTGTACCAAGGTAGTATTTTGGCTTCACCTTGACCCCAAATATGGGAGATCTCTTTGGGGTCAGCATACATTCTGTTTGCAGTCAAGGACATGACTTATAGTACATGTGAATGACTTATCCTGAGACTAAAAATTTGGGTGTGCATATTACCCATTTTTTTAAAAGTTCCAAAACTTAAGAAAGTACTAGTCTGAAACTTCAAATTCTGACCTGTTCGGAGGAAATATATAAAAGCAATTTAAAGTATTAACATTGTTAGCTTTATTAAATATTTTCCAGATAAAAAGGCCTTATCACACGCCCTTTCTTACTCTGAACAGCCACCTACTTCGCTATTGGGAAATCAGTTGACAAGTACTAGCAGACACATGGTACCAGGACTACTCCAGGTACTGGAGACGAGCAGTAAGACACACACAACCCTTGCTCTCCGAGACCAATGGGGCCGTGCAGGAGACGGGCAGTGCTGTGAGGGTGCTACAGGATCCCAGAGCAGCGAGGGGCTCTTTATCAGGGACTCAGTGGATAGACCTGGAAGAGCCAGATGAGGCAGGAGGCTGGCATGGGTGACAGCTGTGAGGGAGAGCGTGTGCGGGGGTCAAGGTGCTAGAACAGCTATGACTGGATACCGCAGGGTGAGGTGCAAATACCAACAGGCAAGGCTGGATGGAAAAGCTGATTCACAAAGGGCCTTGAAAATGGTCAAAGAACTAGCACTTTACTGAACAGCATGCCAAGTTACCGAAGGACGGCAAACAGCGAAGCAACACAATCAAACACGCATTCTGACAGGCTCATTCTGGAAGTGTGATAAGAGGAGTATGAAAGGGGAGCGAGGATAGATTCAAATGCTAACCAGGAGGTAGGAACAGGGCTTTGTGGCAGGAGTCCAGAGCCCTCTCACCTTCCCATGGACGAGAGAGATGAAGGGTAAGACCTACACTGACGAGGAGCAGTGCTCCCAGACTGAGCCGCGTTTTCTAAGGATGGAGTCAATGCGCCAGGGTGAGAACTGTCAACTGAGTATTCTACACATCATCTGGGTTCGTCTACAAAATCAGTGGCATACAGTAAAAGGAAGAGGGGCGATTATAGAATGGCAGCGTAACGACCCAACTCAAACCTTGACTGGATTCTGTATCGAACAAATGAACTCAAAAAGATATTAACTATCACAAAAAACCAACAATATGGACTGAGCATTAGATGATTTCAAGAATTATATTAATTCTGTTAGACTTAACAATGCCATTATTATTTTTAAATGTACTTATTAAACAAGGTACTGAGAATTTACAGGAATAATGATATGATGTCTCTGATTTGGCTTAAAGTAACCTAGAAAAAATAAAAATAAGTGGGAAGAAATAGATGAAACAAGATTGGCAAAATACTGGTAACAGTCAATAAGTACCTGGGGGTTCAATGAACTATTCTCTCTTTTTTTTATATGTTTGGAATTTTCTATAATAAAAAGCAAAAACAAGTTACTCTCTCATAGAAGGAGGCTTGGCCAGCTCTTTCTTTCCTTATCTCACAGGAGTCTGGAGAAGCACGGCGAGGCCTGGGAGCAGGGGAAGAGGCCTGGCCACGGTGAGGCCTGGGAGCAGGGGAAGAGGCCTGGCCATATCTCCTCCTCCATTCAAATGCTCTCTCATTTAGCTAAGTACAGTGGGTGCACAGGCGGGCCTAGGGCGACCCTGTTCTACGCTACCCTCTTGTTCCTTGCCTTTGGTTTTGGAGGATGTAGTTGGGATTCACCTTTCCTCTACTTATAGCAGAAACTTCAAAATCAGGGTGTGGGCTACAGGAGAGAGGCAATGCTAACCCTGTGACCTGCCGTATTTTTAGCCTTTCTGGCAAATCCAGCTTAGGTGAAGAAGCTGTCTACCTAGCTTATGAGAGTTCAGCCTCAGGGTCTGGGAACAAAACTCCCATTAATAATAAATTTGCACTTTGCCTTTTGTCTCTACTAGATAACTAGCCCTCCAAGGACCTCACAACAGGCAGCAGTGATTAGTGTGAAGAAGATTTAGGTGTTGCTAGGTCCTTAGCTTCGATAGAATCTTATTCCTGATGATTATCACCTCCTCATCACAAGGAACTTTCCTCTGAAGGATATTATTCTGGAAAAAGAATGTCCTTTGTACCCACTGAGGCCGCCTGACATGCTGTCATGATTGTCTGTCCCTTCACACAGAAGTCATCTTCAGTGAGGAGTCTCAGTTAGCCACAGATTTATGGGAACAGACTTATGAAATCACATAGTGAAGGAAGGCACCTGTCTACCTGGCAATAATTAAGAGAGAGAAGAGGAGCTCTAGAACTCATATTGATGGTATAACTACACATTAATAAAATAATTTCTCAATACTGTTCGTATAGTCAATCTCATACCTCACTCATGCACAAAATCAGACCATAAGTGCACTTCTACCATAGATGCTAACCAGGCATGGATGTTTCTCTTCATATTTGAAACTATTTCCCTTTCAACCCTGTCCTTGAAGTTCAAGTGTTTGTGGGGTATGAATTTACACTTGATGCAAGAAAGGACTTAGCCACGTAAAGGGTCACTAGGCTCTGGAGCACTGACTAGGGAGCCCTTCCCTGGAGAGCTTTCGGGATGAGAGAGTCACCCATTCGTCTGGTGTGCTTTGGAAGAAATCACTTGAAATTCTTTTTTCTATTAACCTTTCCCAAAAACTGGCATTTTAGGGATATAAATCTGCCTGGAAACTCTCTCACTAGTATTCTCCTTGAGGCAGAGCTTCTGCCTCAAGATACTTGCTCCTTAAGGAAGATACTTGCTCCTTCTTATGCAGGGCATCCCTGCTTGCATCAGCATCAAGGAGGTTCAAGACAGTCTGTGCACGGCTTGCAGGGTCAGAAAATATAGAGCTCAAAGTTCTGTTTTCAACCTTATCTCCTTTCCCATATCCCCACCCTCAAACACTTCTTTATCCAACAAGAATAATATACCAGAAGTTTCTAAGTTTTCTCTCAAGGTTGTGTAAAGCAGATTTTGCATTCAAAGAAACACAACAAATGTTTTGAATAATTATAAAGCCCAGGCTAATGTGCTTTTAGACTATATAGCCTAAGAAGGTCCAAACACTTCTGGGATGTCTAGCCACAGATTCCCACCTGCCTTTCACATCATCTGAAATGGGAAAGGGCTCAGAGGTGGCCTAGAATGGTGATCTCTGACACAGTAGGGGGTTACCTGGCCTAAAAGGGTACAGTGGGGGCTGGGCCACACGTCTTGAGGTTCATTACTAAGGTCTTTAGGAAAACATTAGAAACTCTGGAAGGAGACTACCAAGCAGAAGGAAGCTTTGAGCCCAGAGCTTTCTTTTAGCTTTGTCCAATTCCAGAGGTTCCTGACATGACATTATGAGAGAACTTCAAACCCATTTGAACATATGAATTAAGATACCTAGGGTTTTTATCTTTATTTTGTTTGTTTGGCTTTTTAAGACAGGGTCTCACTATGTAGCTCAGGCTGGCTTAGAACTCATTATGTAGCCTAGGCTGACCTCAAACCGACAGTGATCCTCCTGCCTCAGCCTCCTAAGTGCTGGGATTATAGGCATTCACCACCATGCCCAGCAGTTCTTAGGGTTTGTGATTAAGCATGTGATAGTCCTGACAATATGCGATTTACTTGGGGAACATGAGGCACCATTGCTGAGATCTTACGATTTTTCAGATCCAGTCTTATGGTCTCTCATCCGCACCAGCACTCCATGCAGAACTGATCACAAGCATGATTACACCCTCGTTCATTCTGTTTTCTTTGGTTCTGAAAGGAAGCTGAACTCTCACCTTTGCATAGATATCTATCTGAAGAAAACCTGCGCCATCAATCTCAAACTCTGCTGTCATCAAACTCTAAGTCCTAGAGCATAGACACCCTTTATATCAAAAATATAAACCATAATTCTGAAGTATTATTAAATCCACACTCAAGACCCTTTGTGGGAGTGGGGATGGGATCGTCTGGGACAGTCTCAGACCTGAAGCCACGGTCAGCAGAGACACTTCTCGTACTGTCTATCAGCAGCAGGCCCCACCGATTCAGCCCTCTCTCTGTTTTAAGATGTTACCTCACTCTCGGAGGCTGCTCCCTCTTTGCAGTGACCCCTCCGGTTTCAAGGCTGCTCTTTCTTGCCAATTCTCCCTCCCAGAATAGTTATCTTCTCTCACCCTCAGACACATTCCTCCAACCAAAAATACACTCCCTTATCACAACACTGCTAGTTAAGTGACATTCTCTCCTGTTTCTGTCTCCTCTTGTGGCTTCTCTCTGAAATTTTCCAAAAGTGGAAAAAATAATTTCTCTCCACAATTAAAAAAGAAAGAAAACAGAGTTTCCATTGGTTAGAAAAACAAGGAGAACAAGAGTAAAGAAGTCTCAAGCAAGAAGAAGAAAAGAAGGTGAAAGTAAAGAAGTAGAGGACAGGGGCTGTGGATTTAGCTCAGCGGCACAGCACCTGCCTGGCAAGCGCGAGGTCGTGGGTTCAATTCCCGGTACCAGGAAAAAAAAAAAAAGAAGTAGAGGACATAAAAGCTTCTTTTCACGATCCATGTCCTAGTCCGGGAATCTCCATCCAGCAGATCCTCTGTAGACACATACAATATACAGAGCCAGGGCCATGCTTTCCACCTCCTCCCATAATCTCCAGACACCCCTGGATGTCACACCTATGCCAAACACCACCCTTTTAGCACCTTCTTACTTGGGAAGTCAAACCTCCTGGTCTGGGGGTCTGCTAACCTCACCTATAATAAGGGACACCACTTCCTTGGATATCTGTCTTTAAAATACTGACCTACAAGGGTAGATTGTCTATTCTGAGACCCACACATCTAAGATAGTATCTATCTTCCTAACCTATGTGAGAGTTCCTTAATCTCAAATGATTACCCAACATTCATCCTTACCTAGTCCATTCCATGCTAAACGTATTCACACATTTATCAGGTATTAAATACCTGCTCTGCGTAGGGCACTGGGCTGGGTGCTAAGAATATAACAGCGTCTCTGTCCTTTTGGAGCAAACAGCTTGACTGTCTAGCAGGAAATACAACGAATCAAGCAGCAACAATAAAATATGATAAGATCTACTGTGATGGTAGGGAGACAGGAGAGTCAGAAATCAGTGCTGCATACCGTCAAGACCACTGTGCAATGTAAACAGAAATCAATGACCGAGGAAATTTCGGAAAAAGCAAAAGCTCCTGCAAAATTAACAGCACACTCCTAAATGATCAATGGATCATGGAGGAAAGTTAAAAATTTCTGTAAGTTCATAACAACAACCGATTAACTTGACAAAACATCTGGGACACGATAAAAGCAGTTCTAAGAGGAAAATTCATTGTAACCCATGCTCACATTAGGCAGACAGAGCAAACCCAAACAAATAACCTTATGAGAAATCTGAAATACTTGAGAAACAACAAACTGGCCCCAAACCAAAATTAAGGAGGGAAATTATAAAGATGCGAGCGGAAACCAATGAAATTAAGACTAAAAAACAGTAAAAAGAAAAAAAAATCAACAAATTGAAGAGCTGGTTCTTCGAAAGAGTAAGTAAAATAGATAAGCCCTTAGCCAGACTCACCAAGAGAAAAAGAGAAAAGACTATGCAATTAGAAATGAAAAAGGTCAAAATCACAACAGATACTGTTGAAGTCCAAAAGATAACTACTTTGAAAAATTATATTACAACAAATTAGAAGATTTTGAAGAAATGGACAGGTTCCTAGAAACATACAAACTACCAAGACTAACCCAAGAAGACATAAATATGCTTAACAACCCAACAACAAACAATGAAGACAAAACAGGTAAAACACTGGAAGATATAGGTATAGGAAAGGATTTTCTAAATAGAACCTCAATTGCACAAGAAATAATAGCAAAAATAAACAAATGGGGCCTGTAATCTTAGCACTCAGGAGACTGAAACCCGAGGATCACCGTGAGCTTGAGGCCAGCCTGGGCTACATAGTGAGTTCAACTCCAGCTCGAAATACATGGCAAGATCCTGTTTCAAAAAAAAAACAATAAACAAATGGGATTATCTCAAACTAAAAAGCTTCTGTACTTCTACATAGCAAAAGAATCAACACTAGAGTGAAGAGACAATCTACAGAATGGGAAAAAAATTTTTGCTACCTACTCCTCAGACAGGGGACTAATACCTAGACTATACAAAGAACTCAAAAAAATTAAACCACCTAAAATTAAAGACCCAGTCAAGAAATGGGCAAGAGAAATGAACAGACACTTCACAGAGGAAGAAATACAAGTAGTCAACAAATATATCAAAAAATGTTAAACGTCTCTTGCCATTAAAGAAATGCAAATTAAAACAATGTTAAGACTCTATCTTACAGCCGGGGCTATAGCTCAGTGGTACAGTGCTTGCCTGGCAAGGGCGAGGTCATGAGTACAATTCTTGGTACCACCAAAAAAAAAAAAAAAAAAAGATTCCATCTTACTCTGGAAAGAATGACAGTCATTAAGATATCAATAATAACAAATGTTGGCATGGCTGTAGTGAAAAAGAACCTCCCTCGTTGGTGGGAATGTAAACTAGTTCAGGCATTATGTATAAATTCCGTATGACCCAGCGACCTCCCTGCGAGGTATCTTCTCCAAAGAGCGTAAGTCATCATACTACAGCAGTACACGCACAACAATGTTTACAGGAACACAAGGCATAGTAGCTAAATCCTGGAAGCAGCCTGTATACCAATTAGCACATGATTGGATAAAGAAAATGTGGTATCTATACATAATAGAATATTACTTGGTTATAAAGAATGATAAATTGGATACATTTGTAGGAAAACTGATGCACTTGGAAAATACAGTGCTGACTGAAATAAACCAAACACACAAGCGTAAGTACCATATGACATCTCTCATTTGAGTGAGGCAAAGGATAAGCAAAGAGAACAATAAGGCATGGATAGAAGGGGACAAAAGGATGGATCTCTTGCAATAGGGAAGTGGTCCAAAGAAACAAGGGTGAGGGGTGAGGAGGAAGGAAAGGGGAAATATGTAAATTACATGAACTGTAAACATGTACAAGTAAAATTAAAAATCTAAAAAAGACAAACCAATGCTGTGACATTATTTAGCACAAACACCCAATTTCAAATACGGAGACTACTTGAAGACTTTTCAAAGAAAGTGACACCTAAACTGGGACAAAGGACAAGTGGAGTTAGGAGTCATGAAGAGAGAGCACATTTACATCAGGAAATAATGTGTGGGAAGGGCTGGCGGTTGAGACAGAAAATGATAGGTGGTTTGGGAAACTTTGAATGAATGAACAAATGAATGAAGAGTGAATGCACTATCTGATGTTTCATAAGACTTATAGTTTTAAATAACTTATAGTCATTTAAAAAGTTATTCCCCAACAATAAAGTCCCAGCTGAGAGAAAAAGGCAGAAAACATACAAGATTCCTTTATACAGCTTCTGCCCGTAAGCAGCATTAGCTGGGCCACGTCCCAGGACTTACCGCCCAGTACGCTGAAGTTCTGGCCCACTATGACCCCCGTGTGGTTCTGGTTCTATGTGGCACGCATTTCCATTTGGAACCCCAGGCATCTTCCTCTTCTCCTTTTAACATAAGACCACAAAATTAGTAAGGTCAGCATCTGTCTGCCCTTCTGCTAACAAGGGGGACGGTGACAGGTAACCCAAAGTAACCAGACTGCTCCAGTGTTTGATACTCTCAAATGCATTTGCTGATTTGACACAATTTGACTTTAATGGAACTATATACAGTGTATGTTTATTTGTGTGTTTACATGTATGAAATTTTTCTTCCTCTCCATGAGAAAATGGAAAATTTCTCTTCCTCTCCACTAGCTATAGCAGAAACATGGGAGCTTAGGCCTCAGATAATGACCTAAGTTTCAGTTCCAAATCTGCTTCTGTGTAATTTTGCTTCACCTTAAAACCTTGCCATGGAAGATCATTTCATTCTTCTAAGGACAAGAATACCTTTCAGGGAGGTGTTGCTGGGAACACTGTATGCCCACACATAAAGCACCTGGCCTGGTACCTGGTACACAATAAAGTTTTCCTCTCCATGCTTAATATTTCAGAAAAGTGGGGGAACTCTTTTTGCTCCCTCCATACAACTGATTTTTTCATTGGATAACTTTGTACATGATGTACTCCGAAGAAATGTTCTCCCTCTCCTCTTGACCATTTGATATCAACCCTTCAAAATCGAGTTTAAAATTCACCTCCAGGTAACTCTGACACCTCGTCATACTGGAGCCAATCCATGTTAGAGCATATTCAATTTGAATTTCTGTTCGGACACTCTAGGAGCTCTCAACCACGGCCATGTTTTAACTTACAGCACAGGCCCACAGCACCTCTGCAAAACTAGCTACCACTGGCTAGCGTGCATACATTACCTGGGAAGGGACGTTTTTGGGTGGCTCGATTCTAATGGACGGGTCCCACTCTCCCGGAGGGAGTACTGTCACCTGGTCTAGGAACTCATCAATCCCTGCCAGGAGATCATCTCGCTCCTTTGCTTTATATGCCACATCATGAAAAATCTACAGAGAAGAAAAAATCCTTAGGTTACTTTTCTTAGAACAATCACCCATGGACACAGTGATAAATGGATACCGCCTCTGGATTTTTATCTCTGTCATGGGAATATGAGAAGTAAAAAACTTAGAAATATATAAAGATAAAAGGAGAAAAAATGGAACTTAGAGGTGAGGTGGGTAAAAAGAACTAAATACACGTCTGCTAGTATAAGAAGAGATGGCATGATTCTAAGATTGTATATTTCAAGCCAGGCGTGGTAGTTTACATCTGTAATCCCAACACTTGGGAGGCTGAGGCAGGAGGATCACTGTGAGTTCAAGGCCAGCCTGGGCTACACAATGAGTTGAAGGCAGCCTGAACTACACAGTGAGACCCTGTCTCAAAATAAAATAATAACAATAATAATAATAATAATATTGTATAATTCTATTATCTCTACAAAGAATGGAACAAAAAGTGGGATGTACAGAAAATTTTCTTGACCACTGTTTGAGAAAACTAGATGGAATGAATGTCCTCCACGAAATAAATTTCCCAATCAAACATGCTGATAAACACAGCCCACACTTCCCTCTGCCCACTTAGATATCCACCTTGAAAACCCTGCTTTGTTGCTTACATGTGCAACACAGTCCCCACAAGGGTCTGTCTATGGGTTTGGCAGTGTCAAAATGTTGGCTGGCTTGGTACAGACAAGCCGGACATTCCCATGCACTTGCTGAGGTTACACTCCGGACCTTATACAAACTCCATGGGAGTAAGGTTTCTTTGTGCAAACAGCATGGATGTATTTAATTAACCATAGTCTCTAGGAAGTTAAGTCAGCCTTATTTCTCCACACATTCTACTTGGCAGCAATAATCCATTTCCAAAAAAAAGATTTCTCTGCATCTTTGATTACTCAAAAAGGTAGAGATAACGTAAGAAGAAAATTTCCCCAGAAGGCTTGGTCCTCCCACAGCAGGCTCTCCAAGAAGAGCCCTAATCTGCCTCCGAGTGGACAGTGCCCCTGTAATCATTTGAGCCCCAGCAATTAGCACAGTACCTGACACAGAAGTATTTATGACACTAATAGAGCAGAAATGGCACGTACCTCATCTGTCATGATGGTGGCCATGGATCTGCCAATCTCATGGTACTGCTGACCTTTCCCTACTGGACCCAGTAAGATAAACAGAAATCTGGAAAGACACACAGAAGAAGAAGTTATACAAGTAAAAGTAAAGATGTGACATCTTACTCCGTTCTAAACCGTAAAACATTGCTCTTTCCTATCCAAGACAAATCAACCCTATACCTTCAAAAAATTAAGATAAAAGCAAGAAGACATACTAATACAGAGCACTGCAAGGTGCCTTGACCTAGTAGCTCCAGCATGAGAATTCAAAGCTATCTGTATAACATCATTCAACAATGTGGCCAGGTTTTTTAAGGCTTCCATAGACCCAGCCTTTCAAATTCCTAGTTTTGGAAAGGACATTTTTTCAAAACATGGCACTGTGCAAATTCAACATTATTTGACCCCCATTCACTCTTCTAATAAGAAAATAACAGTGAGCCAGGTGTGGTGGTGTATGTTTGTAATCCCAGCACTCAGGGGGCTGAGGCAGGAGAATCGTTGTGAGTTTGAGACCAGCCTGAGCTACAAAGTGAGCTCAAGGCCAGCCTGAGCAGCAAATGGAGACCCTGTCTCAAAAAGACAAAAAAAAAAAAGTGATGAGAGAACAGCAGGCATAAGGATGACAGCTGACATGATCAAGCTCTGTAGAGAAGTCTGAATTGTGTTATGGACACCTGAATACTCTATAATTAGTGGGGCTCTGCATCACCATCATGCCACCTTCAGAGTGCACGAACAGCTTTTGGAACAAGTGTGGGCACGTGTGCAAGCCACAGGCACCCTGACAGCAATGTGAGACACCAACACCTCTGCTTGGAAATGTTCCTAAGGAGCGTGTCCCTGTAGAACTGCGAAAGCGGGAGTGGGCTTTCTGTTAGAACACACAGCTGGCCCTTGCTAGGCCCTCTGATTCTTCTCAGCTCTCATTTCCAAGACTGCAAGAACTGCGCACTCACAGCCTTAAAATCCACAATTCATCTGTGTGGCAGTTAATCAAACACATGTTAGTTTTCCAAGCTCGCTGCTAAATTTTAAACACATTTTCAAAATTAATTAATCCTAACTTTTGGCATTAAATGCTTTACTCTCCCAGGGCTCACATAAATTTATACTTTGGATGGAATGCATTGAGTTTTTTAAAATTTATTCTTATAGGTAGATGTTTGGAGCACAGAACGATTGCATCCATTCTGGGGAGACTGTACATGTGCATACACATCGCAATTACTTTTTCACCCTCTTCTCTTCCCCTCCCTTCTTCTCCCTTTCCCCTCCGCCCACCTCTTGGTCTCCTTCCCTTCTGCAAAAGTTCTACTCCCTGTTTCCTATTATCTATCTTTTATATGATCTTTAATTTATTTATCCTTTGGCTTTCTCATAGAAGAGGCACCATGAAATACTTAGGCTTGTGTATTTCATTATTTCACTTAAACTTCTGGTCTCAGGGTACATCCATTTTTCTGTAACTGAATCAAATTTATCTTCTTTATAACGTAGTAGTACTCCATTGTATGCAAATAAAGCATAGAATAAAGGAAAGAAAAGGTGGTATTCATATACACTGAGTTTTATCTTTGCCTTTACCTTGTTGGGATGGGCACTTCTGTCAAGCCTGAGAGAAGAACAGCTGGAGACAGTCTCACAAAGGCAACAATGGGCCGGTCCAGAGAGTCCACCTCTCCAACCAGGACGTTCGAGGCCTCTGCCCCAGTGGGAATTTTTTTCATAAAATGAAGGTCAACCTGAAAGTGCAAAAGAGCCTCTTGATTTTGGAGCTGTCATCTTACACATCAATCACATTCCTCATACTTTACTTTCACATGTCATTTTACGGTTAACACATGTTTTTCTCACATTGTTTTATTGATCCTTACCAATTTCTGTATGATGGATAAGGCAGGTCACATTAGTCCCACCATTAAAAGGAGGAGGAGGAGGAGAAAAAGTAGGTGGAGGAGAGAAGTGACACTGACTTCACCAGGACTACAGAGCTTTTAAGATAAAAAAATCAGAATTTAAATCCAGATATTCTGATTTGAACCCAACCTACCATGCCTCCTCAAAGAGAAACATCTTTGACGCTCTGGGTCACATTATTTGACTTTAAATACCTCAATGCTTTGTCAGAGCCCTCGGGTTTTCTCAATAACACAGGGAGCCTATGAGCTCAGGGAGAAAACAGCATGACATTCCCATGTTTTAGAAAGAGGGTGTCCAGGACAGACCAGAGCAAGGAGAGGCTGGAGGCAGGGAGACCGAGGCTAGAGAAGGTGGTGCTAATGCAGAAGGCCTTGGCTACCACAGCCACAGCCCACAAAAAGAGTCTCAACCATAAGGTAGCCTTCAACGCTTTAGCAGAACTCTTGGAGGTGAGAAGGAGCTTCAAAAGGGCAGATACCAAAAAATAACTGAAAAATCAGGAGGCCTGAGGTTAGGAAGACTCTCAGTAGCTAGTCTCATTTCTTTAGCTTTTTGAATCTGGAGGAACAAACTGACAAAGACACCCTCACTAGGCTGGGGTGGAAGGGAGAAGACATGACAGGTGGGCCTGCTTTTCCAGATAAAAATCTCTGGTCTTGAATGCTCATATTTAAACTATGTAATAAACTCAAAAAAATTAGCCCCTCCTCAAATTTCAAGACCCAATCCCAAAATGGGTATTGGAAATGAATACTTTTCAGGTGAAGGACAAATGGTCAGTACATGAAAAAATACTCAATATCGCTGGCCATTCAAGAAATGCAAATTAAAGCAACACTGAGATTCTATCTCACTCCAGAAAGAATGGCTGTCATCAAGAAATCAGCCAATAACAAATACCGGTGAGGCTGCAGGAAAAAAGGAACCTTTCCCTATGGTTGCGGGGAGTGTAAATTGGTACAGCCACTGTGGAAGTCAGTATTGGCGATTGGACCCAGCTATTCCCCTTCTAGGTATCTTCCTGAAAAAGTTAAAGTCATCATACCAAAGTGATATATGTATACCTAGGTTTACAGAAGCTCAATTTATAAAAGCTAACAGAAATAGCCCATATGCCCATCAACAGATTAATGGATAAAGAAAATGTGGCATTTATATACAATGGAATACACTACTCTGCCATAAAGAAAGACAAACCTGAGACGTTTTTAGATAAATGGATACACCTTGAGACCATAATCCTAAGTGAAATAAACACACAAATTTAAATGAAACATTTTTCTCTTGGGTGAGAAACCCAAAATATAAATAATGATCAAAATAGAGGATAGATGGGAGAAGGGAAAAGGGGATTGAAATGAAAAAAGAATTTAAGAAAAAAATGGAAATAGAGCTTTTGTAAATGGGAGGGGGAGACAGGTTGGAAAGCGGGGAGTGGAAAAGATTAAAAAAAAAAAAAGAATCAAGGGGGCTAGGGATTTAGCTCAGTGGCACAGCACCTGCCTGGCAAGCGCAAGGTTGTGAGTTCAATTCCTGATACCGGAAAAAAACCAAAACCAAAAAAAAAAAAAAAAAAAAAGAATCAAGATGTGCTATGCACATGTCCAAATACCCCATGATGAATGTGTTCATTATGTACTAGAAACATGTACAAAAAACCCTCTGATTGAAGAAAGGGTCTTGAAATACCAAATTGTACCCAGATTCTAGAAATTGAAGGCAAGGTTCCATTAGAGATAGCCTTAGACCTCAAAGTCAACTTCCCATGTCTTGCTCACCTTGCTTAAATCCACAGGACTGTGTTCACAATTCACTCCATTTTTCACTTCAAGATTTGTAGTTGGAATAGACTGAGGTGATATAGTTTGACCTATTTGGAGAAAATCAAATACAAACCTCTAAGTGCCTGCCCTTTTCCTCTGACACACCCACCCACCCTCAGTTAGCCGTAACTGCTCCTACGATGGTTACATGGAGAGGAAACCAAGATGGCTAGGAAGCCAGGACCCGATCATACCTATCTCCTTACCTATGAGTTAGCGTAAGAGGAGAACAGACATCTTACCACTTCCGCCCCTTCCTGAACACATTTGTGATGCTTTTTATTTCTCTCTTTAGATATAAATATCCTTAACCAGAAGTGCATATGAGAGACCTCTACAGAGAACTTTTCCAAAATACAGATTCCCAGGCATACCCCTGCACATTGTAATTTAGGAGTTCCCAGGCATACCCCTGCACACTGTAATTTAGTAACCAAGGAGACCATGAGATGGATATAGAACAGATGAAGCCCTGCCCAGCTATACAGGAAAGGGCCAGTTGGCAGCTGAGTTCCTGGTTAAACGATTTATATAAATTTACTCATTGAAATCTCCCGATAAACTGAAGCCGTGGGTCCTCTTGTTGTCTTGATTTTACAAGTGAGAAAGTAAGATTTAAAGAACTTTAGTAGGTTGTCTAACGTCATACATTTTGCAGGTGGGAAAGCCAGAAACCTAAGCCTGGAAGTCTTGATTCAACTCTAGAGGGCTGCAGCTCAGGGGCACAGCGCCTGCCTAGCATGCGTGAAGCGCTGTGTGCAATCCTCCGCTGGGCAGTGGCGGGGGAGAGGGGGGCACTACACGACTGTATTTTGCCTCCCTAATCAGTAAGTAGTCGGTTTACTTCTAACAGGCTCACTTTCTCGGGCCCCAAATTGTCCCTGATATGGATATCTCCCAAAACCATTCAGTTCTGAGAGCACTCGGGGACACTAGCGCTTTACCTTGGGTCCACTGAGCTCCGTCCAAAGTAGGCATCCTAACTGCCATAAGAGAGAGGCACAGGCACTGCCAACCGCTGACCTTACTAGTCACTGAAAAGTGCAACATGTTTAAGTGGGCATGAAAACATTACAAACACAGCCCCTCCCCTCTAGTAGTTCAGCATCTCCTACTAGTATTTGTAAAGAGAAACAATAATCACTTATAATAATCTTACCATTTTTATCCATCGAATGTGGATCAGACTGTTTCTTGCCAACCTCAGCAAAGGAGCGAACAATGGGAATGAGGTTGTTTCTCTTCTTCTCATTTTGATGATGGTGCTTTTTGAGAAGGGCTTCCCGCACTTTAACCCTCATGCTGTCATTCAGGTCACTGAACAGTTCCTGCTGGTCCAGTATCAGGTCTAGAAAGCATTCACACGAGTGTCAAGCTGACAGGTGAGGAATCCAAAGAGGCCAACATCAGGGGGGCGGGGGTGAGGGCAACGGGGAGGGGAAGCCGCTCCGACAGAATCAGGGAGGTATAGTTTCAGCTTCACTGTCTACAAACGCTATTTGATTACTGTGGCTGTGAAAAGTTACACTTTATTCATTTAATTCTTTTAAGAGAAAGGGTCTTGCTGTGTTGACCAGGATGGTCATGAACTAATAGGCTCAAGTGATCCTCCTGCCTCAGCCATCTATGAAGGTGAGATTACAAGTATGTGCCACTGTCTCCAGTTCAAATCACCATTATTAAGAACAGAACTTAGAAAAAAAAATGCACCAAGAACTATAATGTGAACTTTACATTTATTATCTATCTAATCCTCACAAAAACCCTGAACAGTAGATATTATGTCACAATTTTTACAGGTGAGAAAATTGAGGACCAAATGTTACAAAATTCTCCAAGTCCTCACATCTAGTAATTTGTAGAGCTGGGATTGATAGTCAGGACTGTGTAACTCAAAAGCCTACATTATTACCCACTTTATTCTGTTATCTGCCTAACTTCTCCTACATTCCCTTCCTCCAAGAATTTAACATGGCTGCAATTATCAAGAGGACTGTAACTGCATGTGGCTATTTGAAAACAGACCCGCTGAGAAAAAACAGCATCATCTCACACAGTTACTATCAAGTATCAGTCTTTAACCCACCATGTTCAATAGACTTAAAGGGCAAAGAGTTCTGGTACTTGGTAGGGTCAACACCACTGTTGGTGAATAGATTCTGGAGCTACAACCTCACATTTTATACCAGTTCCATCATTTTCTACTGATGTGATCTTGGACAAGCCACATAATCTCTCTGTTCTCAGTTTCCTCAGCTGTGATATGGAACTGAAATTATTGCCCACCTTCTAAGACTGCAGATTGTTATGGAGAATTAAATTAGATGATATCTAGAGTACTGATTCAAAGTAAATGCTTGAGACAGCTTACTTATCCTTATCACTAACATCTTGAATATACAGGTACCTGATGTGAAGACCTTAACAGTTTTTGTTGTTGTTGCTGTCGAGACAGGGTCTTGCTATGTAGTTCAGGCTGGCCTTGAACTTGTGGTGATCCTCCTGCCTTAGCTTCCCAGTGCTGGGATTATAGGCATTCACCACCGCACCCAGCCCATAGCAGTTTTACTTGATTCTTATATACCTCTCCCTGAGTATCCCCCAAACCTCAACCTTTTCTTAATTTCTAACTCCACAAATGACTAAGTGCTAAAAGCAATAAAGAGGAAAATCTATTTCATATTCAAGCTGAAGATCCATATTTTTGTATCTCTAACCTTTACATTGGTTGATTGCTTTCTGTCCCCACTCCGTATTTATAATTATGCTCAGGAGCCTTCATCTTGAAAGGAAAAAAAAAAGTCAACATCCCCTATATCTACTGTCACCTTTTTCTCCCTTCCTATCACTTAAGGTTCTCAAAAGAAAAATTCTTCAGCCCTTTTGGCTATGCCAATGAATCTGTGTCTGATAAAATCACCATTTGCTAAGTCTGATGGATGTTTCTGGTCATTATCTCACCCGACCACACTGAAGCACTTGACATATAAATCAAAGGTTTCTCCTCTCTTGGCTTTTGTAATTGGTTCAAAGGTACCTCTCAAAAGATCGATATCCTAACTGTCCTCACCAAAATCTGTGAATGTGACTTTATTTGTGAAGCACTCTTTATAGATGTATTCAGTTAAGGATATCCAGAGGAGGTCTTTCTGGATTTCTGTGAGCCCCCACATCCAGTAGCAACTGTCTGTATATGAGACACAGAGAAGAGGAGAAATCCAGTGATGTTGACTATTTCTTCATGTATTTATTAGCCATTTGTACTTCTTTTGACAGGTATCCATTCACTTTGCTTGCCCATTTTTTGATTGGGTCTTTTACTCTGAGGGGTCTAGTTTTTTTTAATTCTTTATATGTTCTAGATGTTAGTCCTCTGTCCAAGGAATCACTGGCAAAAATTTCCTTTCCATTCTACAGGTTGTCTTTTCACGCTGTTGGTTGTTTCTCTTGCTGTGCAGCTTTTTAATTTGATATGATCCTACTTACTGGTTCTCGGTATTTCTTATGCCTTCGGGGTTCTATTCAGAAAGCCCCTACTTCTGCCTATGTTTTCAAAAATTATACCTATTTTATCTTACAACAGAGTAAGTGTTTTTAACATTTAGTTCTTTGACTTTAGTTTAGTATGGTGACAGATACAGGTCTAGATCCAATCTTCTGCATGTGGAGAGCCAGTCTTCCAAACACTATTTATTGAAGAAGCTGTCTCTCCTTCAGTCTGTGTTTTTGGCCCCTTTGTCAAAGATCAAATACTTAAGTGTACTTGGGGTTGTTCTTTCATCTTCTATTCTATTCCATTGATCTTTATGTCTGTTTTTGTGCCAGAACCATGCTGTTTTTATCACAGGAGCACTGTAATATAACTTCAGGTCTGGAATTGTGATGCCTCCCCCTTTGCTCTTTTCCCCCAGGATTGTGTTTGCTACTCTGGGTGTCTTCTGGTTCCATATGTATTTTCGAATTGATTTCCCCATTTCTGTGAAGAATGCTGTTGAAATTTTGATTGGGATTGTGATAAATCTGTATATCAGCTTTGGAAGTATTATCATTTTGACTATAATGGTTTTGACTCTTCAGGAACAGGGGATATCTTTCAATTTTCTGATGTCATCTTAGAGAAATGCAAATTAAGACCCTGAGATTCCATCTTACTCCAGAAAGAATAGCCATCATCAAAAAATCAAACAATAACAAATGCTAAAGAGGCTGCAGGGAAAAAGGAATGCTTTTAGACTGCTGGTGGGCACTTAAACTAGTACAACCACTGTAGAAATCAGTGTGGAGATGCCTCAAAAAACTGAAACTAGAAATCATACTTGATCCAGCTACCGCCCTTTCTAGGTATCTTCCAAAAAGACATCATATTAAGGTGATACATGTATACCCAGGTCATAGCAGCACAATTCACAATATCTAAATCTTGGAAGCAGCCTGGATCCTATCAGTGCTGACGTCTTCCCTGGGTATCCATGTTACCCCAGAGAGGCAGAATTACTTCGATACTGTATGTGCAGTAAGGTTTGGAGCAATGTTTATTTAAATCTGTCAAGCTGAACAAAGCCCATCTGAGGGGAAAATCCTCATAGGCACTAGGTGTCTCTCCAACTCTGTTCCCAATGCATAGTAATTGAACATCTAATTACATCAGGAAATGCCATCAGACATGGGTCTTTTTTTCACGTTACTGAAGAAATGGGAACACTGTGGCTGACTATATTCCTATATTTCTTTCCTAGATGCTATCTGTTTTTGTCTTTTTGGAGACAGGGTCTTGCTATGTAGTTCAGACTGGCCTTGAACTCACTTGTAGCTCAGGCTGGTCTCATACTTGCAAAGATCCTCCTGTCTCGGCCTCCCGAGTGCTGGGATTACAGGAGATGCTGTATTTTGAATGATAAGTTTGCTTTAATTTAACTCCCTCTCTGCACAATTCCCACTTGCCCCTCACTTTGATTTCTGCCAACCATATCTCTGTTATAATTATTTTAAATTTTTTTCCATGGGTATTTTCCCCACTAAAAGGTGAGCTCCTTGAAGGCAGGAACCTGTCTTATCTTTATAGTCCTACACCTCATACATTATGAAGTTTATAGCAGATAAAAAATGTTTGCTAAACAAACAGGCTAAGACCGGGCGGGGTGGCGCACGCCTGTAATCCCAGCACTCGGGAGGCTGAGGTAGGAGGATCATTGCAAGTTCAAGACCAGCCTGGGCTACAAAGTGAGTGAGTTCCGGTCTCAAAAAGACAAAAACAAAAACAAACAAACAAAAAAAAACCAGGCAAATGGAAAACTAAATACTATGTTATCTGAATCCCATAATAATAGGTAGATTAGCTTATTAGTTTGAATCCATCCCACAGTCAAAAATATTGAGCCTACAACTTGCCTAAGAACAAAGAGCCACTTTATTCATTCCACACCGTGCTTCTTCTTCTCCTTTTCTTTTAAGCTTTTGAGCAGCATCTTACTATGTAGTCCAAGTGGGCTTTAAATCTCTCTATGCAGCCCAGGCTGATCTTCAATTTTGGATTCTCCTGTCTCAGCCTCCTCAGTGATCAGGTATGTACCACCAGGCCCAGCCTGCACCATGATTCTTAATTTACAGAGGAGTTCTGTTTTCCCTCACCTAACCTTACCTGAAATTTCCTCAATGCTATTTGCATGCATATCCAGAAGGACAGTTCCATTAATGAGGCAGCTCCTTAATTCAAAGAGACTGTGCAGCGAAAGGGTCGCCACGTACGGCTTGCTCCAGCGTTCTCCCCCATCTTCAACGTCTTCCTCAAACTTCAGCCACCTGAAAGCATCACAAAGAGCTTGACAGCAAAGGGAAAGCGAGGAGTTTTCCAAAGAGAAAAGCATAAGCATATGAATAGTCATATTAAACACTGTAAAATCCAATCTATATCTTCAGGGTATACTGATTAATTAGAGAAAGCAAGTTATAGAACAGTAAAAGACTGAGAAAAAATATAAAGGGTAGTTTGACTCCATTTTTACTTAAAGAGAAATGTGAAACTACAAATACATACATGTAAAAGCACTAAACATACTCCTTAGAACCCCGGAGAAGTGGAATTACAATTTTCATTTTCCTCTTGTTGGTTATCATTATTTTCTTTGAGCATGCCCTACCTACACAATTAAAAGTAGATCTAATTTATATCATTTGGATATATTGACAAATCTCATGAATAAAAAAGACATTACTTTTTTTTTAAGTATTCTGTGTGACCTTCAGTATTCAATATTCTGTGTGACCTTTAGAAGTCACAAAGATTGCATGACAGAAGACTAGTTAATTGCCTTTCCGCTTGGTATCAGGTCAATCAATTTGCTCAATACTCTGTACCCACAGAAAATGTCCACCACACAGCAGATACCCAGGAGCTGTTTCAGCGGAAGCTGGTGCCACGTTTTGATGGTTACTCACGCTCACCCTGTTCCCCATGATCCAGGCATGCTGGTTTTGTATCAGCCACAAGGGTCACTGCTAAGTTATCAGAACAGCCCAGGCGGGCCCTGGTTAACCTGAGATCTCTTCTGACACCTGCACCTCAGACAAGCATAGTTATTCCACAACTACCCCAGGAAGTCTAATGTTGAGTTGGCTACAATATCAAAGATCTCTGTGAAGTTGAATTCTGCAAGAAGTAGTCAAAGTCTCAAAACTGTGGGACTATAGGAAATTAAAACCCAAATGGTTCACTTGCAAAAAGAATCTGAAAATATGTTTGGCCAGGTTACAATCAAGGTGGCCTTACCTAGCATCCTGTGAACCAGACCTACATCACCAAGAAAGCCCATGCTGGGTGTGGTAGTGTACACGTATAATCCCAGCACTCTGTAGGCTAAGGCAGGAGAATCACCATAAGTTTGAGACAAGCCTGGGATATAATAGTGAGTTCAACGCTATCCTAGATTATACACTGAGACGTTGTCGCAAACAAAAAAGAAAAAGAGAGAACCATGAACTTATGTTGAACCTCAAACAAATGAGACAAAACTCCTTGAAGGTTACACATTTATGTCACCAATCATGAGCTCAAGGTCACTTGGCATCGGAATGACCAAAGACATCATAAAAAATATACTCTGGCTTCTCTTCAGATCGCATAAATCTTTCACCTTTTACAAAGACATCATAAAAAGACCAACACCAGGACTCCCAGCAAGAGACTCTGGAACATTAGTCTTCACATCAGCTATCACTTCACCCAAAAAGAAAGAAAAGGCAAGCAGACCTGTCGCTGGCTAAAAGGTACACATTTGCCTGCCCAAGCAGATCTTGGTCTGCGTTATTTTAGGGCCTCACCTGGCTGTCTCCTTCCACTCAGCATCTTCTCCTTCTTTCACACAGATCTCATCCAGCTCGGTGAACAGCTCATGAGGCACATGCTCTTCATCTTCCTCGGTCCCAAGAATGAACTGAACACGCTGAGATGGTGTGTCTAGGGAGTCAACGACAGAAAGACCTGCAGTTAGCCTCAAAGCAGAACAGAAATAGCGTCTGCCTTACCTAATCACTTCAAGAATATACAGAAGATGACCCTGAGCACAGAGTTCCTCTAGTCTCAGAGAAAAAGCTATTCTGTGAAAGCAGTTTCTTGAGAAGGCAAATTTATAAACTAAGGCTACTTGTAAAAATCCCCTAAGGGCCTAGAAGTCTGACAAATTTGATCAAAAGGAATGGCTAATTCTCTAGCAAAGGATTACACATATTCTGGTATTGATTGGGGAGGTACTGAACTGTGACATTCTTATGAGCACACTTTTGATTCTTAGCAGCATTTCTTCTTGGACGAAAACTTCAAAACCTACCAAAAGGCTAGGATCAAGATGACACGGTTGTACCCCTCACGCACTCTCAGCATTACGAAACCTCCTAGCCACGGACGCCCACCTCTTCCTCCCTCTTTGCCTCCTGAGGGCATTACCGTGGGCCAGGGCTTCCAGGCCCTCCTCTCCCTGGCTGGCTCCTTTGCCCCGCCCTCGCCTCCGGTGCTTCTGGCCGTGAGTGCGGTGGTGTCGATGGCTCTGCCTGCCCAGTGGCATCCGAACCCCCACATACAGAGTTCTATGACCTGGAAGCAAACAGAAAGCCTGTGGCAAGAACTCCTTTCATACACAGGGAATAGAATCATAATTGGTTTTGGGGGGTTTTTTTGGAGGGAGGAGTTATTTTGGTTTTGTTTTTTGGCTAGTCACAAGTCCAGAATGATAAAACTTCAGATGTTTCCAGGACTAAAGATTCAGCACTCTTAGCATTGAAGGTCTCTTCCTCTGTCCTGCATATGGCTGCAAACCTTACAGGAATGTTATAAAGATCCAAAGAAATCATGTGTCTTAGGGGCTAGGGATGCAGCTCACCAGTACAGCAAAGGCTTTAGCAAGTACAAGGCCCTAAATTCAATCCCTGGTGCCAAAAAAAGAAAAAGAATAATGTTTTCACAGCATAAAGGCCTATAAGGTATTAGTTATTGTTATTACCATTTGATTGAGTGATTAAAGAAAAAGAAATGTAATTGCTCTGTGGCAATCGTGGCAAGTCCTGCCAGACAGTTTAGAAAAGTGGTTAAGAGCACAATTTAGCAGCTCAGACTATACAGCAAAACCCTATTTCAAAATAAAACAAGACAAATCAAAACAGCATAGCACAACTCAGGTTCAAGTCAGCCTGCCTGCGTCCAAAACTCAATTTCATCACTGGCTAGCAGGTGACCTTGAACAAGTTCTCTCTCTTTGATATCTTTTAAAAGGGGAGCAGAAGAAGTAAAAAGGATGGAGATGTGATTATGTATATGTACTAATTCCCCTACATGAATGTATTTACTATGGATGCAAACATACAGAAACAAAAAAAGGGGGAAAATTAAAAATAAGCTAGGTGTGATGGCGCATGCTTGCACTTGGAAGGCTGAGGCAGGAACATTGCTGTGAGTTTGAGGCCAGCCTGAACTACATAGCAAGACCCTGTCTCAAAAAACCCAAAAAATAAAACTTTTTTCTAAAAATTTTAAATAAAAAATGTAAATTGAAGAAATACTAAAAGCTTATCATTCAAATTCAGAGGGTTGTCTTAAGCAGAAAGTAACGACATAAAATGCTTAACACAATGCCTAGAACAGGGACGGCAAAACTTTTAAAGACTGAGTGCCCAAACTGCAACCCAAAACCCACTTCTGTATTGCAAAGTGCCAACACTTCAATTAAACCCGATGCTCAGCTGCCGGAGTGACGCTGGGGTGACTTGGCTGGCATGCCGACAGACAGGGTTCTGCATGTCTGCTGTACCACGTGTGCTATAGGTTCGCCACCACTGGCCAATTCATTCTACAATCAGCTTTCTCTTTCTGTCCTTTCCTAGCACTGTAGAACACACCATCTAGAACAGTACTGAAAGACTAGTATAAATCAAATGGAGCCTGTGGCTGGGTTTAGAGAGAAATATTAGATGTTGTACAAAGAGGGGAAGATGTGACAATAAATCCAACAGTATTCCTCTCCGACTCCTCCCTCTTACTCCCTCACTCCTCCTATACTGACTTCAGCTGCCTTCCTGCCAAGTCTGGAGCCCAGCAGCCCCACAGCCACTCCCGCACCCGACACACAGAGCCTTGGTGTCCCCTGTCCCACCTGACCGCTGTCTCACCACTCCCAGTCTCAGGTCCACTCCCACATCTTTCTGCCACAGAAGCTGTTCCAATCTTTAGCCATCACCTGCCTGGCAAGCGCAAGGTCCTGAGTTCAATTCCCAGTACCAAAAAAAAAAAAAGTGTGAAGAAGTCCCCATCTTTAGCCACCGCCGCCACCATCTTCAAATCCACAACTCTGGCCACATTCCCTCCCTCTGAGCAGGTGAACTTGCTTCGCCTTTTCCTGAGGCACTCTCACGTGGACACCCTCCATCTCGACCTGGCACTTCTCTTTGCCAGGCTGCTGAGCACGGCTCTTAATCCCATTACCTCCACCCTGCCAGAGCGCTCCTGCCAGAGCGCTCCACAGTCTCTCCTTGCCATCCACTCCTCCCACAGCTTTCTCCTGACCTTTTTCCTCCCACAGCACTAGGGACTAAACCGTGCTAGGCAGGCACTCCACTGCAGAGTTACATCCCTCCCCAGTCCTTTTGATTTTTTTGCTTTGAAGCAGGATCTCACTAAGTTGCCCAAGCTGGCAGGTGTGTGCCACCATGCCTGGCCCGCTCCTGACTGATTTTAAAAAGAAACCTTCCCCAAAATTCTCTCCCAAAGCTTCTGCCTACCCTTTGTCTTCCATCAATCCATTTTCAAGAATACTCAATGAACTAACTCCTTTTCCCCACCAGTTCCTCACTGCATGGCTTCTGCGTGAATCTTCTGACCTGACTCCTCACTGAGGCTATGCACACTAGGGACACAAGGCCACTTCACCACCAAATCTGGCGTCTTACATCTCTGTTAGATCAGTACAAGAAACTTTCTTGAGAGCTCACCATGCTTATCAGGCAGTATCCAAATCCCTTGATCACTTCCATCCCTTGATGCCCTGGCTCCCTTAGCTCTTGTACCTAGGTCGCTTGCCCTCCTCTGACAGTACCTCTCAATCCCTCCACAACCCACCAAAGAAAGCATCTTGAGTTTCCATCCCTGGTCTTTTTCTTCTTTCTCTGTAATGCCGTTCATTTTCCAGACTTCAAAGCTCACTTCTACAAATGACCCCCAAATCTTTACACACAACGATCAACATATCCCATAGCTAACTTACTACCCACCGAAATTGGGTTCCTACCCATTTCCTCCATGTTTCTGCTCCTGGTATCACCATTTGTCTGAACTTTTCAGGCCTTGAAACCTCAGAGTTACCCTCATCCCTGGGCTCTCTCATCACACATCCCAGTAGATTGGGGATATCAAGCCTTTCTGTCCTCCTGCTTTGACAGAGGAGGGCCTCCTTCCCGCCTCCCTCACTAATTTAACCTCACAAAGTAACCCTGTGGTCACAACTCTGATCACACACAGCTCCCCTCTGCAAATTCAGGACTCTTCACTCTCAGTCCTCATCCTACTTTCTAATCTTTTTCCTTAGGACAAGTTATGCATTCAGTGTGCAAATCAAAGGACACCCTCTAAAAGCACTGGGTAGTCACCTCCAGAGAGATGAACAGGAGTCCCACGTGCTCACAGAGAACAGACATTCTAGACAAAATTCTGGACACATACACCTTCTGTACCTACCCCAGCCATAGACTGGCCTGGTTTTGACTCCATCTCCTATGGCTTCGGCTGCTACATCCACCATCACGTCGCACTCTTTTTTCTCTCCCTAGACCAGCGTGCGTTGCACAAATGTGCCAGTGCTTTCTGGATGCTGACTTGGTGCAGTCAGCCAAGATTCACTGCAAGTGCACCTTCCTTTTGGTAAAGTGTCTGGCTTTCCTCCCCCAAACACCCAGAGCCCTTCACTAGCACTTCTTGAATGCGTTTACAGTGGTACCTTAGTTCCCTAACTTAATTCTTTCCATGATTCTGGTTGCAAACCAAACTGGATGAGAACCGATCAGATTTCCCCATAAGGTCAACATTTGACCTAACCATCAAATTTGATTCAGTTCTCGTCTGACTTGGGTTGAGACCAGAATTGTGGAAAGAATTAAGTTCGTAAACCAAGGTTCTGCTGTGTTTTCTGCCAGTAAGTTGAACAGCTCTCTTGTTCCTTACTACTCACCTGCAAGCTCTTCAAGGTCCCAGGTCAGACTTTCTCTCTGTTTTTTTTTGTTTTTTGTTTTTTGTTTTTGTACTGGGAATCGAACTCAGGACCTTGTGCTTGCCAGGCTATATCCCCAGCCCCAGACTTTCTCTCAAAATCCCTACATAACCAAACACATTGTCTTATACACTGGCACTGCTACACAAATGTTCAACAAATGGAGTATTTCCTAAGAGCCTCCTCTAGGAGTGTGACCTCCTCAGGAAAACACAATCTGACCTAAAGGGCCTCTGATCTGAAAGAGGCTAAAAAAGGAACATGTTTCCGAAAGGAACATTAGGAACGTGAGTATATTTAAGGTAGACGTACTCAACAGGGCCTGAGGGGATTGAGAAGATGCTAACCAATCTGGGAGTGGAGAGCTTAATCAGGATGCCTCCCCAGAGAAGGGGACTTTATAAGAACAGCTGCCAACCTTTATCTTCTCTCCTCAGCCAGGAAGTTTCCTAAGACTGCACTCCACTTCGCTGCTAGTGCTCCCCACTTCCACGGGAGGAGACAGTGCCGTGGGTGCTGCCCTAACACTTCTTTGTCCTATTCTTCCTCTTTTTTTTTTTTTTTTTTTTGCCCTCCCTCTGTCTGTCAAACTCTAAAACCATAATGCAAAATAAAACAGAAACAGTAACTATTAGATCAGAGACTTCTTAGAATACAGAGACAGAGGATAGAATATTTAATATTTGATGGAGTCACCTCTAACCCTCCTGCTGTCTCAGTATAGTCTAATGTTGCCTCATGCACATCTCAGGACACTCTGATAGGCAGATCTCTGAATGTAATGTACTCATCTTGCAACTTCATCAAAAGAGAGATAGAGGGCCAGAGAAAATCACCTGCTAAGATGTGAAATTCCAGACCTCTAACATTATTAATATAAAGTGCATAAAGGATGAAATTACTAAACTAGCCTGCTGTGGCTGTGCACACCTGTAACCCCAGCTACTCAAGGGGCCACCGCAGAAAGAGTACAAGTTCAAGACCAGACTGAAAAACTTAACAAGATCCTGTCTCAAAATAAAATGAAAATGGTTGGGGATATAGCCCAGCACTCCCTAGGTTCAATGCCCAGAAACACACACACACACTTAATTGAATATCATCCTATGGAATACCACTGAGATCAACTCAGATGGCATTAACAGCAGAACGGAGTCACCTAATTGTACCAGATCCTGTCCCAAGAGCTTGGGCTACTGTACAGAACAACACAAAGACTTCAGAATATACATTCTGCTTGGGAGAGGCAGGCATCATGAAAACAAGAAGATATTCCTCCAGGCATGGCAGTTCATACCTGTAATCCCAGCTAGTGGACAGGCTGAGTAAGGAAGATTACAAA